GTGTGTTAGTTAAAAAAAAAAAAAACTTTTAAGGCATTATCAGTTCAGTTCAGTCACTCAGTTATGTCCAACTCTTTGCGACCCCATGGACTGCAGCACACCAGGCCTCCCTGTCCATTGTCAACTCCTGGAGTTTACTCAGACTCATGTTGGTGATGCCATCCAACCAGCTCATACTCTCGCCCCCTTTTCCTCCTACCTTCAGTCTTTCCCAGCATCAGGGTCTTTTCCAATGACTCAGTTCTTCGAATCAAGTGGCCAAAGTATTGGAGTTTCAGCTTCAGCATCAGTCCTTCCTATAAATATTCAGGACTGATTTCCTTTAGGATGGACTGATTGGATCTCCTTGCAGTTCAAGGGACTCTCAAGAATTTTCTCCAACACCACAGTTCAAAAGCATCAGTCTTCGGCTTTCTTTATGGTCCAACTCTCACATCCATACATCATTACTGGAAAAACCATAGCCTTGACAAGATGGACCTTTGTTGGCAAAGTAATGTCTCTGCTTTTTAATATGCTGTCTAGGTTGGTCATAGCTTTTCTACCTAGGAGTAAGCATCTTTTACTTTTATGGCTGCAGTCACCATCTGCAGTGATTTTGGAGCAAAATAAAGTCTGTCACTGTTTCCACTGTTTCCCCGTCTATTTGGCATGAAGTGATGGAACCAGATGCCATGATCTTAGTTTTCTTAATGGTGAGCTTTAAGCCAACTTTTTCACTCTCCTCTTTCACTTTCATCAAGAGGCTCTTTAGTTCTTTGCCTTTTGCCATAAGGGTGGTGTCATCTGCATATCTGAGGTTCTTGATATTTTTCCTAGCAATCTTCATTCCAGCTTGTGCTTCATCCAACTCAGCATTTCTCATGATGTACTCTGCATGTAAGTTAAATAAGCAGTGTGACAATATACAGCCTTGACATACTCCTTTCTCTATTTGGAACCAGTCTGTTGTTCCATGTCCAGTTCTAACTGTTGCTTGCTGACCAGCATACAGATTTCTCAAGAGGCAGGTGAGGTGGTCTAGTATTCCTGTCTCTTTAAGAGTATTCCACAGTTTGTTGTGATCCACACAGTCAAAGGCTTTTGCATAGTCAATAAGGCAGGAATAGATGTTTTTCTAGAACTCTCTTGCTTTTTCGATGATCCAGGGGATGTTGGCAATTTAACCTCTGGTTCCTCTGCCTTTTCTAAAACCAGCTTGAACATCTGAAAGTTCACAGTTCATATGGCATTGTAATGAGCAGCAAAAAAAATATGTTTGGGAAGATGCTTTGTAAAACATGAAAATCTGTATAAGTGTAAAGGAACATTATTACTAAACAGGTGGGCAGTGCAGAGGAAGTACCAGATGCGGATTCATTCATTCACTCAACCAATATTTTGAGTGCTTGTGCACTCAGGATATTACCACAGGCAAAACCGCTGCCCTAGTGGAGCTTATCTTTTGGTAAAGGAGACAGACAACAAACATATACATGTATATGAAATATGGTTAGAAATAATAAGTGCAAAGAAGAACATAAGCAGGGCAAGAAGATGAAGATGGTGTACAGATGAAGCATCTTAGCTGGGGTGGTCACAGAGACGAGTGAGCAGAGGCTGAATTAAGAGAGGGAGTGAGGCTTGTGCTCATTGGTAAAGACTATTGGGTGGGTGGGGGTTTGTAAATGCAAATCTCCAGGGTGGGAGTGGGCTTGAGGAACATGCAGGAAGACAATGTGGCTGGGACAGCGGGAACCCTCTGGAGATGATGGCAACAAAGTCAGGGAAGCAGCCAGAGCTCAGATTCAGCCTTAGGAAGAACTCTAGATTTTATTCCAAGTGTGATGAAAAGCCTTTAGGTTTTGGACATGGAAGTAACACAGGCTGAGATCTAAAGTGATCTCACATGCTTTCGTGGGGAGAAAAGAATGTAAAAGGGCCAGCATGGAAGGAGACACTCCCAGAACTGCCAAATATGCAGGCGGTCCCGAAACCAGTGCTATGTTGATGGGAAGATACTGAGAAGACTGTGGAGGTCAGGAGGTCAGCATTCAGCGATGGATCGGATTTGGAATAGAAAAACAAGTCAAGTCTGACTACAAAGCATTTAGCCTAAGCAATGCAGAGAACCATGGACCATTTGCTGAGGTAGAAAGCACTGGGAGAGGTTTTGGACATCACTGGATGTCCATGTAAGATATCCAAACAGAAATATCGAATAGAGGGGTAGAGTATACCTGGTTTTCCTTAGTGTTCTGGGGCAGGAATTCCCCCCACCTTTTTTTAAATTGAACTGTAGTTGATTTACAAGGTTGTGCTCATTTCTGCTATATAGCAAAGTGATTCAGTTATACAAATTTTTTTCATATTCTTTTCCATTTGGGTTTATTACAGGATATTGAATATTGTTCCCTGAGCTATCCAATAAAATCTTGCTATTTATTCAATCTATATATAACAGTTTGCATTTGCAAACTTCCAATCCAACCTCCCACTTGGCAAGTATAATCCCTTCTCTATGTCTGTGAGTCTGTTTCTTAGATAAGTTCATTTGCGTCATATGTTAAGATTCCACATGTAAGTGATATCATATGGTATTTGTCTCTCACTTCACTTAGTATGATAATCTCTAGGCCCATTCACGTAGCTGTGACTGGCATTATTTCATCCTTTTTTATGGCTTATACTCCATTCCATTCATCTGTCAATGGACATTTGGGTTGTTTCGACGTCTTGACAATCGTATACAGTTCTGCTATGAACATCAGAGTGCATGTATCTTTTCAAATTATAGTTTCATTCAGATATATGTAGGGCAGGGATTCTTAACCTTTGTGTGTGCACCCAGGGCCCATTTGTCAATCCAGTGAAGTCTATGAGCCTCTAATGCAATGGTAGCTTCCAGATACACTATCAGGCAAGTCATCTGAGAAGTCACAAAACAGAAAGCTCCACAGACTAAGATGCCTAAATTGCAGGGCTTATTAAATCAATTTGAAACACCTGATTGACATCTCCTACAGCAAGAACAACATGGGGTGGATAACATACCCAGGACAGGCTGGAAGAGACATGGGGCACACCATCTAAACCTGGGGTCCTGCAATGTTCATTTGTTCTGTCTCTCTGTGAGACTGACAGTGGGGTTATGAAGACTGGAACTGAGGATGCTCAAAGTTATTCAACAGAGAATAAGTACCTGGAGCCAACTCACAGCCACCTATCAGAAAGACACAGGGGCAAGCACACCTGGCCAGCTCGCCAATAATCTGCTGAACAGATTTTATCTGCAGTTCTTGAGCAGAGCTCATGGAAGCCAGAATGGGATCACAACATTATCACCAGTGAGTGGCTATTAGGGATGACACAGTTGTCAACCCAGAGGTCAAATGATGATGCCTGTTGATTTGGTTACCCTCCAAGTAAAATTCTTTTATTTGTTGCATCGTATATTCCACTTACTCTATTCACATGCAACATATCAAACTGGTCACTACTTAAGCTTCTTGCCTAGGTCTGTCTCACAACCTACTAGCCTACTCAACATCCGCATCTCAAAAACTTCTAGCTTTTTCCTTCTCTATGTTTAACAAGTTTTGTTTCATTCATCCTGTTTATTTTTCTTTTCCTCAATAGAATGGAATATTCTCAAATAGAGCATATTCCATGATAATCATGTTTTAGATGACTAAAATAAAATGCATAGAATTTTAAAATAAACCAGATATATACAGTTCCACATTAAATAACAAGACCCAGGGCGGCAGGTCTTTCAATGACCAAAATTTAAGTAGTGATGAGCTTAATACTGAGTTCTCCCTGTTAACTAAAAAAAGATGTACAACGTAAGAGTTTTGAGTTGTTTTATTTGGGGCAAAATGAGGACTGCCGCCTGGGAGGCAGCATCTCAGCTAGCTCTGAGAGACTGCTCCAAAGCGGCAGTGGGGGAAAGTCAATATATAAGGTTTTGGTGAAGGGGGAGTTCAGTGCCATAAACACTGAACTTACAAAAGGTTTCTGTCAGTCATGAGGATCTGATGTCACCATGAAGGGATTTGGTGTGTCTCTAGATATGAGGAGACGCAAGAATTGAGGTCATAAAATCTGTTCCTAAACACATCCAACTATCTAAAGACTTGTCCCATCAGATTCCCTGGAGCACAGAGCGCCTCACTCCACCCTGAACTCCCTGAGGGTTGTTGAAGGTCAACAGCTTTAGCAGCATGGGGTTCAATCTCTGTAGAGGCAGATGGCAAATGCCTTTGTTGCTGTCACTGGCAATGCTCTTGGTAAGTGCCAATTTGTAATTTACATCCCAAACAACTGTAAAGTGATATTAAGATGCTGTGATAACTATTGCTGAGACTCCCGAAGTTTGTATCCATGCATTAAAATTCATATGAAGGCGATGGGAGATTTCAGTTAGTATTCGGTTCCAATGGTCCGCGGACTGCAGTCAAACCTGGGCCGAGAGCCTGCCCAGGTCGTTTGGCTGCCAAAGGCCTTTCAACAGCCAGTCCAGTCCCTTCCAGATCTGGCCGCCCTCAACGGAGAGAGGACACAAGCATTAAAAAGCGACAAGGGTGGAATCAGTTGTGAGAACACTTAAGCCTTCCTGGGGACAAACAGTTAAAGGGGACAAATGGTGAAACCCCGTCTTTCCCAGAGCTGCAGGCGAGGGGTGAGCCTGACCTCTGCCCTCAGCATCCCGGAGGAGGCCGCGCAGCCGCAGGCGTCGGGGAGCTCCCGCCCCGCCCCCCGGCCGGCAGGGGGCGCGCGCGCGCGCGCCAGCAGCCCCGCCCCGTGCGCACGGGCGCCGAGGCGTGCCTGCCGCCAGGCATCAGCAATCTATCGGGAGCGGCGGGTGGCCTGCGCGGCGTGTTCGGAGGCGGCGGCGGCGACGGTTCTAGGCGCTTAGCCGCCCGTGGCTAGCGGATCGGTGGGTGAGGCTGCAGTAGCAGAAGCGGGTCTCCAGGTCGCGGCGTCGGGCTCCCGGAGCTGTAAGCAGCAGGAGAAGGATGGCGGAGTCTTCAGACAAGGTCTACCGGGTCGAGTACGCCAAGAGCGGGCGCGCGGCTTGCAAGAAATGCAAAGAGAGCATCCCCAAGGACTCGATCCGGATGGCCTTCATGGTGCAGGTGCGGGCGGAGGGGGCGCTTTGTGCGCAGCCGGGCCTTCGCGCGTCCGAGCAGGGTGGGGGGAGGGCCGGCCCGGAGCCGTGGGCCTGGCCGACCGCTCCCAGCCAGCGCGGGGCCTGCGGGCACAGCTGCTATCGCGGGACGAGCCCGCCGGGTGGACCCTTCTTCCGTCAGGTTTTGCTGATCTTGCAGGAAAAGCCCGGGAAATACGGTCTGCAGCCGGTGGGGCCTTATACTTTGTGAAAATAAGGAGCCACTTCTATCCTTTTCTGGGTTTATTTTATTGTCGTTCGCTTCGGGAAGGAAACTGACTCGTGGTTTTTTGAAGCTAGTCTGGTTTTGACCTACCTTGTTTTGGAAGATATTTGTCCTACATTGACGGTGGCGACTGGCAAGTGACGATTTGGATTTTTTTTTTTAATCTATTTTTGGCTATCATTTCAACACGCGCTCGTTTTTTTTTAATTATGCAAAACTATGCAAGTCGATGTTATTTCAGTACAGTGCGTTCACTTTTGGCTTACGCTATGGTTTAACATTTTCCCCCAAACTTTCCAAGTTCACAGAACGTTGTCTTTGTAGCTATCTGGTTTGAGTAAGAGTGGTTTCTGGGGATTCTCATCTGGGCTTCTTAATAGAGTTGAGATTCTCTCCGGTGGTCCCGGAGGCTTCCGAGCAGGCCAGAGGGGTGTTGGAGTGAGGTGGTGTGTCTAGAGACCCCTCCCAGGGCAGAGAGATTCCTGCCTCTTTAAGCTTCCAAAAGCTCCCGTCTGTCTGTGTAATTCTAGTTCCCACCTGCCCTGTCCTCCCCACCCCAACCAAGGTAAAGCTTTTGTCCAAGCTTAGTGCTCATGGTCAAGATGGCTTAATTTTCCCTCCACGGGTGAGGCGGTAAGGTATTTTAGGAATGACTAGATGGTATCGCTGCATTTGCAGTAGTTAGGTGGTGGAGGGGAATGGGTACTAGTGTGTACTTAGGCTATCTCATTTCATAATATTGTTACTGAGTCTCAGCTCAATCTGCTTACTGCCCGACAGGCTAATTGAAGCAAGGAATACTAACTTTATTATTTGGAAAGCCAACTGACCGAGAAAATGGCAGACAGTTGTCTTAAAATCAGCTGTCTTGTTGGGATTTGGATGCCCGCTTCTTTTATAGGACACAAAGTGTTGTGAAAGTAAAGATCATTTTCTTGCAGATCTCTCCTGAAATGGCCAGCCTTAGGGAGGGGAAAGAAAGAAACTGAAGTTACTTAGTCGTGTCCAACTCTGAAACCCCATGTACTGTAACCTGCCAGGTTCCTCCGTCCATGGGATTTTCCAGGCAAGAATACTGGAGTGGTTTGCCATTTCCTTCTCCAGGGGATCTTCCCAACCCAGGGATCGAAACCGGGTCCCCCGCACTGCAGGCAGATTCTTTACCATCTGAGCCACAGGGGAAGCCCCTTAGAGAGGGGATGTGTGTGTTAATCTCTTCAGGCAGAGGGGTAGGGTGCCCTGAGGCAGGTTATTATATGTGGTTACAATAACAAGAGCAATGAAAAACAAAGGTTAAAGTCCAATAAACAGGTCCTGATCCGTCTGGGAGTTAGAATTAGCAACAGTATGTCACTTCTTAGGTGGCACTAGTGGTAAAGAACCTGTCTGCCAACGCAGGAGACCTGAGAGATGCGGGTTTGATCCTTGGGAAGATCCCCTGGAGAAGGAAATGGCAACCCACTCCAGTATTTTCGCCTGGGAAATTACATGGACAGAGGAGCCTGGCAGGCTCCAACAATATGACAGGGATTGGCATTGTCATCTTAGTATCATTCTCAGGACCACCTAGCTCACTACCCAACACTTATCACTTACTAAACACTCACTGAACACCAGTTAGGTTCTAGGCATGGTGTTAGGTACCAGGGGCGCAAGGACAGACTCCATTTCTGGGAGCTCCCAGTTTGGTTAAAGGGGTGATGACTGGTAAACATTGCTCTGCTGGGGTGGGTGCCACCTGATGGAGCTGTGCCCTTGGCATGGTGGGTGCCAAATTGGAGCTCACCACAGAAGTGGCAGAAAGTTGAGGATGGAGGAGTAGACAGGCCTACTATTTGAGGAGCCTTATCTCCCCCAGAGCGTCTTTTCATTTCATCCTAACTTTTGGGTGGCCGGCTCATCTCGTGAAGTCCCCATTAGTGCAAGGGCTCTTAACCTGGAGTCTGTGGGATGGCACATAGAACTCAAGAGGTCCATGAGTTTCAATGAGAAAAGATTCCTGTCTTCCCTGGACTTCGGTTACAATTCATCACTTCCTACAGGTATGAATGTAAGCCACAAAGCAAAGGCACATTAACAGTAACTGCAGTTTTTGTCATCAGTAGTAGTTATTTTCATATCATTTGTAGTTGTTGGGGATTTTTTAAAATAACCATTTATACTCATCTCAACAAGATGGTGGGCTTCCCTGGTGGCTCAGACGGCAAAGAGTCCACCTGCAGTGCGGGAGACCTGGGTTCGATCCGTGGGTCGGGAAGGTCCCCTGGAGGAGGGCACGGCAACCCACTCCAGTATTCCTGCCTGGAGAATCCCCATGGACGGAGGAGCCTGGCAGCCTACAGCCTGTCGGGTCACAAAGGATCGGGCATGACTGACCAACTAAGCATGGCATGACGTGGCAACAAGATTAAAGTGAAAAGTCGCTCAGTCGTGTCCGACTCTTTGCGACCCCATGGACTGTAGCCCACCAGGCTCCTCCATCCATGGAATTTTCTAGGCAAGAGTACTGGAGTGGTTTGCCATTTCCTTCTCCAGGAAGATTACAGTAGTTGTTAGCAATAAGATTATAGTAGTTATTGAAGTGGGTACTGTATCTTGTTATTTAATGCTTTAAAGTTTGTGGTGAAGGACAGGGATGCCATGGGGTTGCAAAGGGTCGGACTGAGCGACTTGTAGATTACTGTATCCCAGCAAACTTTTTTAATGTTTTCATAATTATTTCAATACCATTGATTTCCTTTGTGAACTTACGTATTTTATTGTGCATTTTAAAATGTTACTCTGAGAAAGGGACATCATCCATAGGCTTCACTGGACCGTCAGAGAGGACCCTGTTCTTCTGGGACGCGGGTGAGCAGTGAAGAGGCTGGTTGGCTCTAGTCCAGGCAGTTGCACTGAGTAATCACTTCCTAAACTAAACAAAGTCTAACATTCTGGGCTCTCCTTCTGCTTACTTGGTAGTGAAGGAAATTTTTGTTATTAAAATTAAGTGTGATTTTTCTCTAATGGTAATTGAGGGTGGAGTTTTAACACAAATGTTTTGTGGGTCCTGTAGGTTGAGCTGGTTCTTCCCCCACCCTCTTTGGATTTAAATACCTTCTTTTACATTTGTGTGGGAGGATTGTTCTCAGAGTATCAAATACCTGATACTTTAGCTGACAGGCCCTGGGACAGCCTGGAGGGAAGTGAACGAACCTTGGTGTTCTTGGGAGGGCCTGCAGGAAACACCTTGGTGACTTTCTTCGTGGTAACAGTTGTTCTGCACTCTCTGGGCTAGGCTGGCCCTGGTGTGGCCTCTTTTTATGGCCCATTTCTCAGGAAGCAGCCTGAGAGTGGCTGCGTAAGGACCCTGGTGCATGGTGGGCACTCATGTTTGCTGAGTCTCCAGCCAAGGATTTTGCTCCTTACTGGAGCTGGGCGGCTGCCTGGTGAGGCAGTAGTCTTGTGACCTTGGTCTGGTTACTTTCCTGCCATCTCATCCTCAGTCCTGAGTTCTTAAGTATAAGGCTTTGCATTGATCAAGGGTTCTTTCCTCTGGAGGGAGACCAGCTGCCTCGACAGTCCCGGAGTTTGTGCTGAGTACACCCTGGTGGAGGCTTTTCGTGTTTGGCACTGTGCCGGTGGCTGGGGACACAGCACTCAGGCCAAAGTTAAAGGAGCAAGTGTGGGGGCCTCAGAGAGCCAGAAGAAATTGTGGCCGTACGGTGGGGTCGGGGTAGAGCTGTGAGCCAGGGGCCCCGTCTCTGCACCTAGAGGAGGCTTAGAGAGGGGTTCCAGGGCAGGCAGAGCCAGGTCAAGGCCACTGCAGATGCTGTCACAAGACGTCCAGGTGCTTAAGGATATGTTGGCTGCCTTGGTGGACGTTTGAAAGCCAGGACACAAGTCTGTTCTCTGGAATGCCATTTGTTGTCTGGTTGTGGATGGGGAGGGAGCTGTCTTGGAGGGAGCATCTTTCCCACAGCAGGAGTTCCTCCATCCTTCCTTTCTTCCTCTTCCCTCCAGACCTGGGGCACCCCACAAATGCTCTGAGTGCCTGCCCTGACTGTGCTGGCAAACAGGCATCGCTTGGCGCCTCTCTGGCAGCTCCTGACCCGATGCAGGACACAGATCTTGATCAAATAATAACCCAAATGGATCTTCTTAACTCTGGGGAGCTGTGGGAAGGGGCATCTGTCATGGGACCTGAGGAAGTGCTGTTGGCTCTGGTTAGAGCTGGGGAGCCCAGGGGACAGCCATTGCTGCTCTGCCCCAGCCGTTAACCCTGTATTTTATTCAGTGCTGTCGATAGAACCCAGAGAGAGGCTGCTCACCTCGTAGGAGAGGCCGGTTGGGAGAGCTTGTCTGCTTTTCCTGAGCACTTTCCGAGTCCGCATGACTCCATCCTCAACGTTCTGTTTGGTGTTTATTTTTAACGCTGTTTTATGCCATCTGCTTGACATTTAGATTTATGTCCTATCAAAGCAGATGTTTGGGGCCTTCAGTCAGAACCGTCTGTGTATTTTTAAGTACCTCTTCCTGCTGAGCGACGTAGAGCAGTGTAGTGGAAAGACCCGGGGCTGAATCACCTATCTGACCCCACCCCCACGAGACCGCGAAATGGGGGTGCTGGCTCCTCAGAGACAGCTGCGGGGAGTCCCATGGTGGCTGGTGGGCAGCAGGGTCCCTCCAGCTCCTGGGGGTGGGGCCCCCGCCTGCCGGTCCCTTGCAGTCTCCCTCATCGAAGTCCTTCATTCCATGCACATCTGCGTGGTTGCTGCCAGCATGACACTTCTCTGAGACATCTGCTCAGCCCGGCGCTTATCGGGGACTCATTCCCCATTGTCCTAAGTGCACATAGCCCTGGGGGCCATGTGGGTCCTGGCAATGGTGGGGTCTCTTCCGCTTGGGGGGCCACAGGAAGCAGGACTGGCATCTCCTGTGCCCTCACCAGCTCTGAGCTGAGTCTGCGACTGAAACGCAGTGGCAAGTTTGGTGACCATGCTTAGGGCTGAGCTCTAAGCTGTAGTGCCGGTCAGCCCCCGGGATGTCCTGGTGCCAGTCCCCAGGGCAGGCAAGGCAGCTTCCTCAGCTGAGGGGTGGGTGGTGTCCTCTGTTTACAGATAAGCAAGGGGGTTTGGGATGTCTGGTGCTGAGGGCCACGCCTGAGGCTCACAGCTCTTTTTCCGCCTCTGATTCCGCCCTTCTAGTCGCCCATGTTCGATGGGAAAATCCCGCACTGGCACCACCTCTCCTGCTTCTGGAAGGTCGGCCACTCCATCTGGCACCCTGATGTCGAGGTGGATGGGTTCTCCGAGCTCCGCTGGGATGACCAGCAGAAGATCAAGAAGATGGCCGAGACTGGAGGAGCGACAGGTGTGTGCGCAGTGGGGAGGTGCGGGGGTCGCCCCAACCCTGGAGCTAGGGGCCCGTTCTGTGAGAGCAGAGAGTAGGTCCTTCAGCTCACTCTCCCATTACTCCAGCAGCATCTCGGTGACCCAGAGTTGTCCTATTGGGTGCAGGATATGTTACTTCCAGATGCTTGACATGTAGCCTTTAAATTTGCTGTGGTTGTTACTTTACTAGCCCCTCTTTTAGTGTAGTTTTAGGTTCACAGCACAATTAAGCAAAAAGTATGGAACGTGGAGAGTTTCCACAGAGGCATGACCTCTGCCACCATCAACTTCTCCCAGCAACTGAAGCTACATTGACACATTGGTTCATACAAAGTCCAGAGTTTATATTAGCCATCAGTCGTGGTGGTGTACATCTTTCCTGTAAGGGTTTGGGCAAATGTGTAATGACGTATATCCATCATTATAATGTCATTCAGAGTATTTCCATCCCTCTGTAAAATTCCTCTGTATTCTGCCTGTTCATCCCTCCATCTCCCAACCCCTGGCAACCACTGATGTTTTTCCTATCTCCATAGTTTCATCTTTTCTAGAATATTGTGTCGTTAGAATCACACAGTATGTAACCTTTTCAAATTAGCTTATCTCACTCAGTAGTATACATTTAAGGTTCCTGCATATCTTGTCACAGGTTGATAACATTTCTTAGGGGCACTAAATATTCTACTGTCTGGAAGTACCACAGTTTATCCCTTCACCTACTGAAGGACACCTCAGGTGCTTCCAGTTCTGGCAATTATGAATAAAACTACTATAAATGTCCCCATGCAGGGTTTTATGTGGACATAAGTTTTTTAATTGTTTGGATAAATACTAAATATCATGGCACACAGTTGCTGGATTGTATGGTTAAGAGTATCTTTAGACAGCAAGCTTCTTCCAAAGTGGCCAGACCATTACATTCCTTCCAGTAATGAATGAGAGTTCCTGTTATTCCATGTCCTTACCAATGTTTGTTACCAGTGTTTTGGATTTTGGCAAGCTGATAGGTTTGTAGTGGTATCTTGTTTTAACTTGTAATTCCCTAGTACCATATGGGCAAAGCTAACACAGTTCTGCTAAGAGAATGCACTGGTCATAGCAAACACTCTTTTTCAACAACATAAGAGACACTTTACACATGGGTAACACCAAATGGTCAAAATCAAGATCAGATTGATTACATTCTTTGTGGCCAAAGATGGAGAAGCTGTATATGTCAGCAAAAACGAGACCTGGAGTTGACTGTGGCTCAGATCATCAGCTCCTTATAGCAAAATTCAGGCTTAAATTAAAGAAAGCGAGAAAAACCACTAGGCCAGTACAATCTAAATCAAATCCCCTATAATTATATAATGGAGGTGATGAATAGATTCAGGGGATTAGATCTAGTAAGCAGAGTGCCTGAAGAACTGTGGACAGAGTTTCATAATATTGTACAGGAGGCAGTGAACAAAACCATCCCAAAGAAAACGAAATGCAAGAAGGCACAGTGGTTGTCTGAGGAGACTTTACAAATAGCTGAGGAAAGAAGAGAAACAGAAAGCAAGGGAGAAGGGGAACGGTATACCCAACTGAGTGTAGAGTTCAAGAGAATAGCAGGGAGAGATCAGAAGGCCTTCTTCAGTGAACAGTGCAAAGAAATAGAAGAAAACAACAGAAGAGAAAAGACTAGAGCGCCCCTCAAGAAAATTGGAAATAGCAATGGAACATTTCATCCAAAGATGGGCACAATAATGGACAGAAACATAAAGACCTAATAGAAGCATAAGAGATCAAGAAGAGATGGCAAGAATACGCAGAACTGGACAAAAAAGATCTTAGTGATCTGGATAACCACAATGATGTGGTCACTCACCCAGAGCCAGACATTCTGGAGTGTACAGTCAAGTGGGCGTTAGGAAGCACTGCTGCCAGTAAAGCTAGTGGAGGTGATAGAATTCCAGCAGAGCTATTTAAAATCCTAAAAGATGATGCTGTTAAAGTGCTGCACCCAGCATGTCAGCAAATTTGGAAAACCCAACAGTGACCGCAGGACTGACCCAATTCCCAAGAAGCACAGTACTAAAGAATGCTGCAACTACTAGACAGTTGCACACATCTCCCATGCTAGTAAGGTTATGCTCAAAATCCTTCAACCTTCCACATTACGTGAACCGAGAACTTCCAGATGTTCAAGTTGGGTTTAGAAAAGGCAGAGGAACCACAGGTTAAAATGCCAACACTCATGGATCATAGAGAAAGCGAGGGAACTCCAAAAAAAATCTACCTCTGTTTCACTGGCTATGCTAAAGCCATTGACTTTGTGGTTCATAACTGTCGAAAACTCTTAAAGAGATGGGAATACCAGACCATCTTACCTGTCTCCTGAGAAACCTATGCAGGTCAAGAAGCAACAGTTAGAGCCTTATATGGAACAACTGACTGGTTCAAAATTGAGAAAGCAATATGATAAGGCTCCTGTTTGTTTAACTTATATCCAGAGCACAGCATGCAAAATGCCAGAGTGGATGAGTTATAAGCTGGAATCAAGATTGCCAGGAGAAATATCAACAACCTCAGATATGTAAATGATACCACTTTAATGACAAAGTGAAAAGAAACTCAGCCTTTTGAGGGTGAAAGAAGAGAGAAAAGGCTGGCTTTTAAAACTCAGCATTCGGAAACAAAGATCATGACATCCAGTCCCACCACTTCATGGCAAATAGAAGGGGACAAGGTGGAAGCAGTGACAGATTTCCTCTTCTTGGGCTCCAAAATCACTCTGGATGGTGACTGCAGCCATGAAATTAGAAAACAGTTGCTTCTTGAAGACAGGAAAGTTACAGCAAACCTAGACAGTATATTAAAAAGCAAAGACATCACTTTGCCAACAGAAGTTTGTATAGTCAAGGCTGTGGTCTTTTTTAGTAGCCATGTATGGATGTGAAAGTTGTGCCATAAAGAAAGCAGAGTGCCGAAGAATTGATGCTTTCAAAGTTGGTGCTGGAGAAGACTCTTGAGAGTCCCTTGGACAACAGGAAGATCAAACCATTCAATCCTAAAGGAAATCAACCCTGAGTGCTCATTGGAAGGACTGATGCTGAAGCTGAAGCTCCAGTACTTTGGCTACCTTATGCAAAGAGCCGACTCATTGGAAAAATCCCTGATGCTGGGAAAAATTGAAGGCAGCAGGAGAAGAGAGCAACAGTGGATAAGATGGTTGGGTGGCATCACCGATTCAATGGACATGAACTTGGGAAAACTCCAGGAGATGGTGAGAGACAGGGAAGCTTGTCATGCTGCCGCCCATGGGGTCCCAGAGAATCAGAAACAACTTGGCAACTGAATAACAAGAAGTACCATGTGATTTTGAGCATCTTTTCACTTCGTTTTATTGAGTTCATCGTATAGTTTGGACAGCAGTCCTTTATCAGATACGTCTTTTGCAAGTATTTCCTCTCAGTCGGCTTATATTTTTTATTCTCTTGGTGCTGTCTTTCACAGAGTAGACATTTTTGTTTTTAATAGAGTCTAGCTTATCAATGATTTCTTTTATGAACTGGGTCTGGTACTGTCTAAAAAGTTATCACCAGGGGCTTCCCTGACAGTACAGTGGTTGAGACTCCAGTGTGGGAGACTTAAGAAACACAGGTTCAGTCTCTGGGTTGGGAAGATCCCCTGGAGGAGGAAATGGCAACCCACTCCAGTATTCTTGCCTGGAGAATCCCATGGACAGAGGAGCCTGGCGGGCTCCTGGAAGTCCATAACGTCCCACAGAGTCAGCCACGACTGAAGCAGCTTAGCACCATACCCGAGGTCATCTAGATTTTCTCCCATGTTATTTTCTAGAAGTTTTATAGTTTTATGTTTAATCAATACATTTAAGTCTGTGATCCATTTTGAGTTAATATTTGCAACAGATGTAATCTGTCTAGATTAAATTTTTTTTGCACGTATATGTCCTGTTGTTCCAGAACCCCTTGTTGAAAAAGCTGTCCTCCGCTGTGTTGACTTTGCTCCTTTACCAAACATCAAGTGACTGTCTGTATCTGTGTGGCTTCTGGACTGTGTTCTGGCATATTTATCGATTTGTGTATTTCACCAGTATCACACTGGCTTGATTATATAGCTTTATAATGAGTCTTGTTACCCAGTGTCAGGTCTTTTTACTCAGTGTCAGTTCCCCCACTTTGTTCCTCTTTAATAATGTGTTGGCTATTCTGGGTCTCTTGCCTCTCCATAAAGATGCCTTTAAATTTTAAATGGTTGATTTTTTTTTTTTTAATCATCCTTTGAAGGCGATCTCCTGAGACTGTATTCTCATTTCTCTGCCTTCCTGTGAACTGACCCAGTTTAACTTGTGATTGTGACTCTAGGCTGTTGTTGAGAACAAGAAGTTTTAAATTGTCCCAGATCCTGTAATTCGGAAAGAACTATCATTAATATTGCAGGGTGTCTTATTAGAAAATGTTTTCTATTCAGATATTGATGCTTGTGTGTTAGTGTGTTTTTACTCCTGCAGAAAAAGGATTCTACCTTAAGTATAATACTAACTTCTTTTTTAGTGTCCTATCACCTTTTCTTTGTGATAAAATAAACATAACACAGTGCTTACCACTTTAAGTGTACATTTCAGTGGTGGTAAGTGCAATTCACACTGCTCTGCCGCCATCACCATCATCCTGCTTCAAAACTTTTTCATCTTCCTAAACTATTACTTCATCCCCATTAAATATTAACTCCTCTTTTCTCCTCCCCCTACCCTCTGACAACCACTATTTCTGTCTCTGTGAGTTTGATTACTTCTAAGTACCCCATACAGTGGAATCACACAATATTTATCCTTTTGTGTTTGGCCTATACTGTATTTGTCCACTTGTGTCTGACTTATTTTACTCCGCATCATGTCTTCAGGGTTCATTCATGTGGCATCTGTCGGAATTTCCTTCCTTTTAAAGGCCGGATAAGAATTTTGTGATATGGCTATTCCACATATCATTTATCTGTTCATTCATCAGTGGCCATTTGGGTTGTTTCTACCTTTTTGGTAATTGGTCAATATTGGTATGCATTTATCTGATCCAGACCCTATTTTCTGTTCTCTTATCTATATACTCATAAGTGGAGTTATGAGTGGAATTATCATAAGTGGGATTATATCAATACTCTACATTCAGTTTTTTGTGTAAACTGCAGTACTGTTTGCCACAGCAGCTGTGCTGTGGGATTACGCATCCCCACCAAAAACACACGGGTTTTTTATTTCTCCACATCCTTATCAACACTTTTGTGTTCTGGATTTTTTGGTTTTTCAGGATTTTTATAAATAATATCCTTCTTAATGTTTTGAAATGATATCTCATAATCTTGATTTGTATTTCCCTGTGGTCTACACATTGCATTTTACAGTTTAATATTTACTCTTCTCACATTAAAAGTTAACATTTCCATCATTATTGTTTAAGATAACATTGAATTCATTTATTCAGATCTTGCTAAATTTTGTGCATCATTCAAGTATTTGGCATATATTATGGTAGTTTGATTGAATCTTTGCCCCATTGCTTTATCAGTTTTTCCAATTGAGTTGAGACACCTGGAGGTTAGTTGAGTGGCCCAAGGTTACCATGGTGGTGAACGCCCGAGGTGAGATTCAAGTCCAGACTCTTTTGCTTTTGAAACAAGGCTGTAAACCATTTAGCTCTGTTACAAACAGAACTTTCAACAAATTTCTCATATATCCTGGGCATCTGTCCAGTTATTTCTTTAATTCTAAGAGGAGGAGATACTGCTGAAAGAGATGAACTGTTTCCAGGTATGCGTGCCAACCTGCCTTACAGAAAGATTTTATCAGTTCTACCTGTACCAGCAATGTGTAATGTACTCATTTCTCTACTTCCACACCATCCCTAAGTACTTTCATTACTTTTCATTTTGCTGGACACGTGTTTCATTATAATGAGGCTTCATCTTTGAGTCAGTGTTCTTGTGATAATATCTGTTTTCTCACAGTACCTGTTTTTGGTATTTTGAAATTTTTCATCCAGAATTTTTTAAATAATACACAGTTATATGCACAGACTTTGCATGTACAATTCAGTGAATTTTGACAAATGCATGCACACATCTAACATTTACCCGTCAATAAGGTCGCTTATGCCCTTTCCGAGTTATCCTTTCTCTCATCAAGGTAACCACTGTTCTGATTTCTGTCCCTTTGAATTAATTTTGTGTGATTTAACATTTCAGAAAAGGAATAGTATCTCTTGAAAGTTGCTTTTGTTCAGCATGTCTGTGAGACTCATCCAGGTTGTCTTGTGTGTCATCAGTTCTTTTTTTTAATTACTGAAGAGTGTCTTAGTTTGTTCATTCAATCTCCTGTTGGTCTACTATCATACGTCATAGTAAGCGCTTACTAAGTTCTTTCCAAAGTGAGGAAAGGGGCTGCAGAGGAGGAGCCGGGGCTGGGGGTGGTAAGACCACCACCAGCTAACATTGTGCTGTTTCTAGGAGCCTGAGAAAATTTTTAATTTTATTGCCAGAGAAGAAACTGCTCACCAACCACAGTAGTTAGAAGCAAACGTAGATGAGATGGACCAACTGTGGTTGCCCAAAACACAAGGTGTCCTGGTAGAGAAATCCCAAGAGGTAGAGGAGGAGGGCAGGGCTCTTCGGAACTACACTGAGCCTATTGAAATGAGCGTGGCTCTGTCAGATGTTTCAGGCAAAGGCCAAGATGGAGTTGGCAGCAAGACCGAGAAGACACTGATTGACTTTGGGGCTGGGTACGCCAAATCCAACAGAAGCACGTGCAAGAGCTGCATGGAGAAGATAGAAAAGGTGAGAGCTTGGGGCTTGGTCTGTCTGACTTTCAGGATTTCTTGCATAGGATGTCACTGGATATCTCAAAAAAAGAAAATAGGGCTTTAGGTGTTGGGTAAAAATAAAGTGAACCATCTTAGTAGAGACAGGAGATAACAATGACTTTTCCTGTGGGCAGATCTAGCCCTGGTTATCCACAGTGCCATCCTTGTGTGTATCTCTGAACCTCCTCTTAGGAAACCTGGGAGAGTTTGGAAAACATGTACACAATGGGTCTCTTCTGGACCCCCACAGGGCTGCAGGAAGCTGTTGGTTGTGTTTTATGGTTGACTCAGTTTAAAGAGTGCGTTTGTTCCCTAGCATCAGCGTCCAGGCTTTCTTCCACTTAGTCGGGCACTTCGTCCACCCTCCTTCCTTTCCAGCTCTCACCCCTGTAGGATGACAGCTGGTCGGGTGGAGTGGCTACTGTCTGAGTAGCTCAGACGCAGGTCGAGGGGTCGGCCTGTGCCCTTTAGCCTTGTTACCCGAGATCCTCTCATCTTGGGCAAACATGCTAGTTGATTAATTCAGGGCACTGATGAGAAAGTTTCTGCCTCCTCAGTATTGTACAGGAAATTAAGGCGAGTCATTGAGTGTTCAGAAAGGAAAAACATGAAATTGCTGGATCTTCTCCAACTGCCTTCTCCCACAAGAATTTGAGGCAGAAGTTAAAAGTGTCACAGGGTGCGCCCAAGGCCGTCTGTCACAGAGCATGGCCAGGCCTGAGGTGGCATTGTATCAATGCCACTTTGTCTGAGCCTCCCCATCTGGGGCCCACGGGCCTGAAACTCAGTGGGGATGTCAGACCTGGGCAGGATGGCAGGACTGGATGCTGGCTCACAGGCTTGCTGCTGCATTTTAGGGAGCCTTCATCTGCTCCCTGAGTGGGCTGGGGAGGAGGTTGCAGAAGACCCCTGCTAGGATTGGGGCCTGCTCTGCATCCCTCGGGGGCTTCCCTGGTGGCTCAGATGATAAGGAATCTGCCTGCAATACAGGGTACCCAGTATTGATCCCTGGGTCGGGAAGACCCCCTGGAGGAGGAAATGGCAACCCACACCAGTATTCTTGCCTGGAGAATTCCTTGGACAGAGGAGCCTGGCGGGCTACAGTCAATGGGATTGCAGAATCAGACACGACTGAGTGACTAACACTTCCACTTCTGGCTCCCTCGAGCCGGCAGTATAGTGCCCCAGGCACTGTTCTTACCTCTGCTCCGGGGTCTGCAGAGCATCCTCAGGGTGATGTTACCACTTTATCGCTTGCCCAGGCAGCTGGGTGGGTAGGTAGCTAGTTGGACTTAACTTTATTTAAAAATGGGGAGCAGAGGCTTCAGGGTAACATAATCCTTAATGGCATAAAACAGCCAAAACCTTTCAGCAGCCCTCCCATCACCTTCAGTGTGGACCTGGTCGCCCCTGGGCTGCCCCGATGTTTGACCACCCTTCCTTGTCTCTCTCTGGTAACACGTGTGGATTCTCCTACAGGGCCAGGTGCGCCTGTCCAAGAAGGTGGTGTACCCTGATAAGCCCCAGCTGGGCATGGTTGACTGCTGGTACCACCCAAAGTGTTTTGTTCAGAAACGGGAGGAGCTGGGCTTCCGTCCTGAGTTCAGCGCAAGCCAGCTCATGGGCTTCAGCTGCCTCACTGCAGAGGACCAAGAAGCCCTCAAGAAGCAGCTCCCGGAAATCAAGGGTGAAAGGTGGGTAGAGGGCTGGGGGTGGGGGGTGTCCATGGGGCTTCAGGGAAGAGCTTCACACAGGCCCAGAGTCTGTATCAGACCCCTACACCCTCCTGACTGCCCCGTCTGAGCACTCCCCTGACTGGAGTCCACCACCACCTTTCCTCTCACCACTCCATGACCCACTCTCACGTCCCCGTGGCATCCTCAAGTGTAGACGCAGCCTTCAAGCACTGTCTCAGTTCTAAATGCGCGTGTTTAGGACGTCCTGGTAGTCCAGTGGTTGAGAGTCTGCCTTGCAATGCTGGGGACACACGGGTTCAGTCCCTGGTCTGGGAAGATGCGATGTGCCGCAGGGCAGCTAAGCCTGTGTGCCACAACTTCTGCAGCCCATGTGCCCTAGAGCCCATGCTCTGCCACAAGAGAATCCACCACAATAAAGAAGTCCTCGCACCACACTAGAGAAGGCCCGCACACAGCAACAAAGACCCAGAGCAGCCATAAGCAAGTAGTAAATTTTAAAAATGAAATAAGTGCACAAGTTTATTGTACAGCACGTGTGGCTCTGGAATGTTAAAGAAAACTAGAAAGTCAGAGGCATGGATTTTAAAGTCCTCAGGGCGCTTTGACACTCGGTATAGGTGTAGGAAGAATGTATAAGCTTCCATTTATGCCGTACCACCAGAATTGGATAAGCACTTCTGGTGTGCTGGGCACTATGCTAAGCCTTTTACAGGATAATTCATTTAACCATCACCACAATCCTACAAGGTAGAGGGTATACTTTTCCCCACGTTAATGAATGAGGGAAAATGCAGGCGTTTGATCTCAGGCCAGTGTGAGAGCTGAAAGCATTAACCACCATGGCTGACGTGCCCTGTTTCTAGGGGCTACTGATGACCCTCAGGGCCCTCTCCCAAGTCCGGGGTGATGCTCCTGGACGTGGTCAGCAGCGTTTGCTGACCAGCTGGCAGCGCCTACACTGTTGCTTCCTTGTGGGCTTTAAATGCTATCTCAGCCTCCCGCTTCTGAGAACAGCCTCTTGGCCTCAGGAGCAGCCCCGTGTCTTAGCTTGACTCAGAGCCTGACCCTGGTGCTTTGTCTTCTGTGGTCCCTGCCCTCACCCGTGGCCTTACCTCTATAGTCCCTGCCAGATCTTCCAGGCCACCGTGTCTATGCCCGGAGATGGGTGGCATTTTGATGTCTGATGGGGCCTAAGCCCTGGGTGCTGCGCCGGGTTGTTCCAACGCTCTGGAGCGACTGCTGGCCCGTCCTTGCAGTGGAGTATGTCATGAAGTGGCAGCTGCAGGCCTGAGCAGACTGAGCAAGCTCCTGAGTGGGCAGTGCCTGGCCGAGCCGCGTTAGAGTGGCGTGAGGATGGTGTTAGAGGATGCTGCGTCACCCCAGGCATTGGTTTTCAGGGTTTCAGTGGTTCTGGTTCTTTCTCTCACATCCTTTGTCTCTTTCAGAAAGAGAAAAGGCGATGAGGTGGATGGAATAGATGAAGTGGCCAAGAAGAAATCTAAAAAAGAAAAAGACAAGGAGATTAAACTTGAAAAGGCCCTCAAGGTGAGTCCCAAGCTGCGTGTCTCCTCTCCTCTCGCCATTCAGTCTAATTCTCTCCCTCATTCTGGGGAGAAAGTTCAAGGAGGTGCGGATGTCCTGCTTTGTAAGAGCTTTTAAAACTCCCAAATCGATAGCTGTTGTTCAGTAGCCTGACTTTCCCCCAAGGCTTTCTTCCCTCCTCCCAAAGCAACATGAAAGCATCCACAGTGGGCTCTCAGCATCAGACCAGTGGCCAGGCTGGTGGGAGCCGAGCTGTCGCTTCCCACTTGGTCTCTTGCTGGGATAGGCGTGTCATGCCTCAGCCACACAGTGCATCACTGCATCCCAGACCTAGAGCACGTTGGAAACTGGGTATTGAGTTCAAGGATACTCAAGGTTGTTGGCACAGAGAATGGCTGAAAGAAATAAAATTTGATTTTTTTTTTTTTTAATGAAAATCTCTTCTTGGGGGGAAAAAAAATAGAAGGCATACAGTAAAAGGAAAAAACTGCCCATTAAATCAGTGGTCATTGACCAGAGATATTCATCACCATGTTGGTAAACGTGTATTAAAGCAAAGTGAGAATTATCAACCAGGAAATGGCGAGCGTTTGGGAAACTAGAAGGGGGCAGTCAGTCTCTTCTTGGGGCTGTGATTTCCATGCTTAATATGAATCACAGATTCGGTGCGAGTTGTCCTTCAGTTTAAAACGTGTCTGTTCTGTGCCATCCTGGGCTGCAGAGCCCCTGCGGTGGGTTTGATGTTCTACCTTCCATGCCCCACACGCTCCCCAACCTGGCACATCCGTTTGTGCTGGCTTCCCATCCTTGGTCACATAGGTGACATCCTTCTGCTGCTTCCATCTCACCTTGCGCCCTTAGACTTCTTCCTTGTCCTCCCTCGTTCCTTATGCTCTCTCGTTCCACATGGTCCTGCAGGGGTGGATATTTTTAGTTGTATATTTTATTTTTAAAAAATGATGCATATTTATATTTATTTTTACTTTTTTTTTCTGGACCACACCGCGTAGCATGTGGGATCTTAACTCCCCAACCTAGGCATCGAATCTGTGCCCCTTGCAGTGGAGGCAAGGATTCTTAGCCACTGTACCAGCAGGGAAGTCCCAGGGGCCTGAGAGGCCCTTATGGAGGTGGGGCAGGGGAACCAGCCCCACCTGTGTGTGTGATGCAGCTTTGTCACGTTAAAGTCCTCCTCACCCAGTGCTGAGAGGGCTGGCATTTCCATCTGTCTTGCAGAGGTGGGGTCTCAGGCCTAACCAGGCATGACTCGCCCAGTCCCCTAAAGCGGGAGGAAGTGCTCCCCTGCCATGAGGAGGCCACTGCCTTCCTAAGCAAAGCAGATGTAAGAATAAATAGTGACGGGAAGAGTGCCCACGAAGAGTAAGCACTGCATAAATATTACCACAGAGATTTACAGTTCTGTTTTCAGAAGAGCTGAAGTCTGTTCATGATAGTGAGCAAGCATAACTCCCGATTGAGGAGGTCAGGGTGTTTGGGACTTGCCCCTGCTCGCTCGCAGGTAGTTGGGGAGCTGCCCCTCCTCCCTTCTCTGCTGGACAGATACACCTTCCTGCGTGCATGTCCTGGGATTTGTCTCTGAGGGGCTGGTTCCAGGGACTCTGGTGCCCGAGTGCCCACACCCCAGGCCGACTCGGTGCCCCGTGCTGGGAGCAGAGTCCTGGGATAGGGCAGCTCTGCTCAGTGCAGGGCTGTGAATCAGGGCCAGGGTGGACCCTTCCTCTGGTTGGGCTTCTTCCTCTGAGGAGAGCCGATCTCTCAGCTGCTGACTGTCGCACACAGGCCCAGAATGACCTGATCTGGAACGTCAAGGATGAGCTAAAGAAAGCGTGCTCGACAAACGACCTGAAAGAGCTGCTCATCTTCAACAAGCAGCAAGTGCCCTCCGGGGAGTCGGCGGTGAGCTGCCCTTGTGTTACGGGAGCCGCAAGCCAGGCGGCCAGGCCGTGTGCGGCGACTGTCCCGGTGGAGTGTGGGAGGCCCTCCGGTTGAACACCTGCCGGTATTAATTGGGAGTGACATTCCACAGTCGTGTTGCATGGTCATCGCCATCGAGGTTGCCATTTGCGGGGGCAGGAAGGGGCAGGCGCTCAAGCACTGAGGTGGGCTGCATGTCTGCCTCATGTGTTCATGTCGCACACTGGGGCCCAAGGAGCTCTCTGCTGCCTTCCTCCCGCACTCCCCAGGGGCCACGGGGGCTGTTTCCCCAGCAGGCCCTGCCGTCACTCCGGTGCACTCAGAAATAGTGGGTGCTCTGGGCTCTCCCTCTATTTCTAAGTCACTGAGGGAAGGGGTAGCTGCAGAAACACTTCGTACGTGGACATAAGATCCAAGCTCCAACCATGAACCGCCTCCCCTGGGGAATGTTAGGGAGCCTCAGGGCACTCCCTTTTTTAGCAAGTGAAGTCTGTGCAAACTCTTCATCCCACATTGGCAAATGTCCTCTCATGGCCCCCCTCCTTTCCTCCCTGACATGTTTCTTCACTGGCTTCAGATCTTGGACCGAGTGGCTGACGGTTTGGTGTTTGGCGCCCTCCTTCCATGCGAGGAATGCTCAGGCCAGCTGGTCTTCAAGGGCGACGCCTATTACTGTACTGGCGATGTGACTGCCTGGACCAAGTGTATGGTCAAGACACAGACACCCAACCGGAAGGAGTGGGTGACCCCAAAGGTAAGTGAGGTGGGAGGTAGGAGCAACCCTGGGATCTTTTTACAGAAAAACCTGGTCCCTCCTTCCGTGCTTATCCACACTCGAGGCCACCACGACTGCAGAGTAGAGTGTCTCAGACCTCTTTACATTGGGGCCTTCCTCATAATCGGAATCTAAAATTATGTCACTGGTTCTGTACATTTGCAAACTACACAGATGGAGAACCAGTGCACTTCCAGCTGGAGCACAGGTTTGTCTAGCTGGTGAAGACTGTGAGTCATTTTTATTTTCTGTTTCTCAAGTACCTACCCTCTGCCAGGCACTGTTCTAGGCACACGGGGCACAGTGGTGAACCAGTGGCAATTCCTGCCTTTATGACAGGAGGGTACTTCTCAAAGACATTTCCTTGCCTAGGTGCTGGAGGAGGAGTAGGACCCAGGGTTCACATGTCCCCTGTCATCTTCTCTCTGCTGAGTTCCCAGAATGCAAAAAGCCTCAATTGGGGCACCTTGTTAGGAGCCATGCTGCTGGGGAACCAGCAGTGTCAAGGGGCTGGCTGCTGGAAGGACCCAGCACCACCTGGGTTGGTCGTGGCCCTGCCGCTCACTGGGCTTTGGGGTCTGTGTCTGTCAAGTTCCCTCACTGCCTGTGTCTTCTCCTTGGGGTGGAGCGTTTGGACCAGCAGCGTGTGTAACTGTCACCTGCATCGGGGCTGATCACCACTTTCCCACATTTCCCCTTTTGCACACATTCTTTTCCTGTCTTCTCTGTCTCCTGCCGCAATTACTGAATACCTCTTGTGCAGCTGCTCTGAAACAAATCTGACTTTATAAAAGGATACCTGGGTGTGCAAAGACATTTTGTCAGGTCAGCAGTGCTTGCTGCCCAGGTGAACTCATGGACTTACAGGCCCTGTGTAGGGAACTGTGCTGCCACCAGGGGCTTGGATCACAGAATCAAGGGCATCTCCTTAACTTGAACCCCCTTTTCCAAAGCCCTCCATGATCCGACTCCAGCTGCCTTCTGCAGCCCCGCTTTTGGCTCTTTTATTCCTCTTCACATGTTACTCTCACCACTTGACATACACGTTCTCTCTGTCACCGTCTTACCCCTTCCCCAGTCCATCCTCATCTGTATCTCTTTCATTACACACTCAGCAGTGGGGAACCAACTACAGTTGTGTGTTCCCAGTACATCACAATACCTGTCCAATGCATTTACTTAACTGCCTACTTTTCCGCTTCCAGCCAGCTGAGTGGGTCACTGCTTCTGAGGAGCCCTCCCAACCTTCCCAGCGTTGCATCACTTTAGCACGCCTCTGGTTTAGAAGCCAGCTCCTATGTGGAAGTTGCCTTCTTACATCTGACTCTCAGTCAAGGCTGTTTGTTTCTCAAAGGCCAAAACTCTTTTAAACCCACTGTGACATGTGGCACATGTTAGATGCCCAGCATATGTTTTATCCACTGGATGGTCATTGACCATGGATCTAGCAGGGAAGGACCGTTTCTTTTTTTTTTAACTTTTTATTTTGTATTGGAGTATAGCCGGTTAACAGTGTTATAAACAGTGAAGGGACTCAGCCATACATATGTACATATCCATTCTACCCCAAACTCCCCTCCCGTCCAGGCTGCCACATAACATCGAGCAGAGGTCCGTGTGCTATACGGTGAGGAAGGACTGTTTGTTGATGGGATGGAGACTTAAAAGAATAGGGACCTGATACCCCTGAGCCTCATGCATGTGATGTTTATTGCATGACTACTTAGAGCAGAGCCCACACAGGGGTCACCTGAGGTGCAGGGGGACTGTGCTGCACGCTGACCATTGTCAGGCCGCCTGCATCCACGGTTGCTTCTAGGAAGGAGAGAGAATTGTCTTGATTTCCTTCCAGGTAATTATCTCTCTCCCAGGGTATGGCAAGTCTGGGGGGCTTTTGGTCATGGAAAGGACATATGACCCTAGGAAGATGCCTCTTGACCCTTAGGATTATAACTCGAGAGTGAGGCCCAAGGGTTGTAATCAGGTTCCAGCAGGGGTCCCCTGACCAGATAATCAGCAGGGTTTTTTGTTTTGTTTTGTGTTTTGTTTTTTAAGAAAAATATTTTTCCTCTTAAAGTGTCATAGTACCAGTTCTATTATAAATATAGAAGTGCTGGTAATAAGTACTATATCAACAGTATTCCACCTGTTGTTGTTGAAATACTATATCAACTGTATTTCATACTAAAGGCCTCTAGTTTTCCTATTTTGTTATTCTTTATTGTGAGAGGAAAAAGATTCTCAAATTCTTTGCTCTGTCAATTGGTTATTTCAAGGGAGAACTGGTTTCTTAACTACAACTTACGTTCTTTAGGAATTCCGAGAAATCTCTTACTTCAAGAAACTGAAGATCAAAAAGCAGGACCGTATATTCCCCCCAGAGAGCAGCGCCCCGGTGGGAGTGGCACCCCCGCCCTCCGCAGCTTCAGCACCTGCTGCTGTGCACTCTGGCCCCCCAGGTACAGCTCCGGGCCCGGCCTGGGTGGGCAGGGCTGGGGCCCTGAGCTTAGCGGGGAGAGGGCATCCAGCTGGGTTCTCCTCCTGTTGGCTGATCCCATGGGCAAACTCTGCCCTTGTTCTCCCCACCCCGCCCCCAGCAGGAGGAGAAAGGCTGGGGAGGGGCTTCTGAGTAGGATCAGGGAAACCGTTACCGGTGGGGACATTGTCCTGCCCGCCTGAGTCTGCACTGCTGAGCAGAGTCAGTCCAGGTCTCACCTTTCCGCCTCCGGGCAGCCCCCTCCTCCACCCCTACCGTTCGTCCCGAGCCTAATGTGACACTGGGGCTCTGTCCCCTCAGAGACCCACTGTACACACTGTGATCGACATGAGAGGTATTCCACACCAGCAGAGACAGTGAGGTCAGTCTGTGTTCTCCTGGCAGAAAGGGGCCACTGTCTTTGTTTACTCAGAGAGATGTGGCATAGTTGTGGCCACCGTGGCAGGTGGAGGTGAGGATTCATCTGTGAATGTGAGCCTAGCAGTGCCCTCCCTCCATCCCCTGGGGAGAGGCCATGTGGTCACCCCGAGTCACTGTGCCGTTTGCAGCTGGGTTCAGGAGCGTATGCTGTGGGCTCGGCGGAGTCGTCATCCAGGCCCTGCGCTGAGCGTCCCCTCTGCTTCCCCCTCACTTGCAGTTCACAGCTCAGTGGTTCTGTTCCCTGTGGAGACCTCGGCCAGCTTTCAGTTAAACCCTGTGGGTGTCTCTGGTTGTTCCCCCCTCACAGTTCAGTTGAGTTGCTCAGTTGTGTCCGACTCTGCGACCCCACGGACTGCAGCACGCCAGGCTTCCCTGTCCTTCAACGGGTGCTGGAACTTGCTCAAACTCATGTGCATCGAGTCGGTGATGCCTTCCAACCATCTCATTCTGTCGTCCCCTTCTCTTCCTGCCTTCAGTCTTTCCCAGCATCAGGGTATTTTCCGATGAGTCAGTTCTTCACATCAAGTGGCCGAAGTATTAGAGCTTTACCTTCAGCATCAGTCCTTCCAATGAATATTCAGGACTGATTTCCTTTAGGATTGACTCGCTTGATCTCTGTGTGATCCAAGGGACACTCACAGGGATGGCCTAAAGGATTCCACAACATCACTTGTGAAAGTGTGTCACCAGCTCTATATGTCTCCATTTGCAACAAATAGAAGGCACACTCCTGATCCAGGTCTTCCTGGCCTGGGGTTAGTGCTGAACACCCGAAATGCCAGGGTTCTTGGTGCCTGAATCCATCTCAACTCTGTGTGGTCCTGCTGACCAGGGCTTCCAGTGGTTGTCATGGACGAGACTGATTTTTTTTTAATGGGGTTGATTAATAAGTATCCTGTGAGGATTGTAGTTTGTTTTTAGTTGTAGAATGGGGGGAAAATTAACAGAAGGAATTGTGAGTTAATATGATGACTCTGACTGCCCACCACTGCCCAGACCCCTGGTCCTTCTTAACTGTGGTGCAGACCCAGACGCCCCCAGCCATCCGTGCACATGGCCTAATTGTAGAACGGTGTCAGTGCATGGCGGATCCCCAGCTGGCCCTTTCTGTGCCGAGGACTGGTGCGGTTTGCTGTCCTGTCCTCTGCTTTCCTGTTGCTCTAGCTCTTTGCTGTTACGTGGCCTTTTCCCTGAGGAGACCCATTTCTCCCTGATCAGAGAAGGTGCTGAGGCCATTCAGGCCTTGCAGCCTGTCTGACTTTTCCCTGGGAGCTGCTGCCTAGTTTTCTACTCTCCCCCACCGCAGGCAGCAGCCCTGTCTCATCATCCTGTTTTCCATTCCAGACAAGCCATTATCCAACATGAAGATCCTGACTCTTGGGAAACTCTCCCAGAACAAGGATGAAGTGAAGGCCACGATCGAGAAACTCGGGGGGAAATTGACAGGGACGGCCAACAAGGCCTCCCTGTGTATCAGCACCAAAAGTAAGTCTCACTGGCCTGAGAACCAGGGGGACCCTGTCTGTCTCTTGTGATTGTGTTGAGCCCAGTGTCCGACACACAGGGGGACCCTAGAAGTGTGTCTCTTATTGCGGGCATGGTTCAGGTTCTCTGTGAAGGGGCATGGGCTCTCATAACTTGGCCTTGCTCCCTGTAGTGGCCTGTGCTCACGTGTCTAAAGACCAACCCACTCTTCTTGTCACTTAGCACTGTTCACAAGATGTTGGTAGATTTTCCACCAGAACACAAGTTCACAGCTTAAGCAGGCTTGAAGTGCGGAGTTCAAGGTCCACAGTTTTCTTTGCAGGCTTATTACACTGATGGCTTATTACACTGCTTTCCAAGAGTGGAAAGCACTACACCACTTTTCTGATACAAACCTGACTCGCCTTCTCTGTGAAATCCTTGTTGACATCTTGTTCTGTAGAAGAGTTTGGAGAAAGCAGCTCTCACTCATCACACCGTAGAAAAGGAGAGTTGTTGCCAGTGGCAGACAATTGTCGAAGTGAGCAAAGTTCCTAAGCGCTAGATTTTGAAGGAAAAGAAAACTGAGTGGTGAGGAAAGTACTGAGTAAGTAACGACCCTGGAATAATTTGAGATTTCGCGTTTTGTTCCTTCCAATTTGAACAGAGGAGGTGGACAAGATGAATAAAAAGATGGAGGAAGTAAAAGAAGCCAACATCCGTGTGGTGTCTGAGGACTTCCTCCAGGACATCTCCGCCTCCACCAAAAGCCTTCAGGAGTTGCTCTCCACCCACCTCTTGTCGCCCTGGGGGGCCGAGGTGAAAGTGGAGCCTGTTGAAGCAGTGGCCCCAAGAGGGAAGTCAGGGGCTGCGCCCTCCAAGAAGAGCAAGGGCCCCGCCAAGGAGGAAGGTGAGGCCCTGGGCAGCCCCGCCCTCCTGTGGCCCCATCGGGTCCACCGGTGCAGGGCCCCTTCCCTTTATGCACCGACAGTCTGAGGAGTGCTGCCCACACTGGCCTCCTCGGTTCGTTTTCCCTTGACCCAGAATGGCAGCACCTTGGGGTGGTGGGAGGCAACGCACACATCCCCTGTTGACTCTGATACAGGCAAAGATGACTCATTTGCCCTGCCTGCCACCTTCCGCTTTCTGGTTTATTTTTAATGTTTGCATTTCTCTGTTTCCTTCCAAGGTACCAACAAATCTGAAAAGAGGATGAAGTTAACTCTTAAAGGAGGAGCAGCCGTTGACCCTGATTCAGGTGAGGAAATGGGAGTGAACAGAGCGGGCTGCAGGGCTCCCTGGTCCTAGCGAATCAGCAGGGTCCCCTCCCTCCCTCCCCCACCGTGGGGGCAGACTCCAAGGAGCTTTGTCCTGACAGGTCTGGAACACAACGCACACGTCCTTGAGAAAGGCGGGAAGGTCTTCAGCGCCACCCTTGGGCTCGTGGACATCGTCAAAGGGACCAACTCGTATTACAAGCTGCAGCTCCTGGAGGATGACAAAGAGAGCAGGTGCGCCCGGGGACGGGGAGGTGTCCAGAGGAGCACGCTCCTGAGAGCAAGGCCCCTCGGAGCTGGGCTGTCCGCGCACCTGGGGACCAGCCGCCTCTCGAGGATCATAGGTGTGCGGTGAGGTCTTCAGTGAAGGAGGGAAGAGGCCGTGGCCCCTGGACAGCCTTGCTGTCCTCGGTCATCTGTGTCACCCTAGGCTCCCTGGTTACCAAAGGTGTTTGGGTTTGCTTATTTATTTTTTATTTTCAACGTCATGGAGCCAGGTAAGAGCCAAGTCCTGGGGTGCTGAGAGACTGGGCTGGCTTGACTGCCCGTACTTATCTAGTAAGTATCCGCTGAGCAGATGGGCCTTTGTTACAGTCACTGTGGAATGGGAGCTACTGTAAGCAGGAGAGGTGTGTGAAAGGAATGCTTACCCTAATGGTGGCAGAAAAGCACTTTGTATTTTGAACTTGACCTTTTCTTCTTAGCAAATGGAAACAGTTTACCCGTTGAAGTCCAAGAGATTCAAAGAGCTTTACTCCTTGAAAGGCAGACCCCTGAGAGAGTGGCAGCCCCAGGGAGAGGTGTCAGCACCTGGCGAATCTCGGCAGCTGCAAGTTGTAGGCACTGGCAGGCTCAGGCTCTTCCCGTTTCTTCAGCTTCTCACAAACCTGTCATTTAAAACGTGAACCTCAGGGACTTCCCTGGTGGTTTAGTCATTAAGACCCCATGCTTCCAATGCAGAGGGTGTAGGGTCCATCCCTGATCAAGGAACTAAGATCCCACATGCCACACAACACAACCAAAAAGCAAAAGACTGCCAAGTCTATCCATTTGAATAAACCAAGGTTTTAAGACTTGAACCTCAAAAGTGACCTTACAAGGGCACATAACATCCGTGTGGCTATTTAAAGTTTGTAAAGAAATAAAATCCTACATCATTAGTTTACTGGCGACTCTTGGAGATTTGAAGATAGGGTCTCTTGCTTGTTAACATAACCTTCCAAAAGCTAGCTGTGTATTGGAGTGCAAGAGGAGGAGTAGGGTTTTTGTAAAAACACACTGAGTGCTGTAGTTTGTTGACCACAGGCAGTGAGAACAGAACTGTCTACTACCGACACACAGGAAGTTATACTGGTGATTTCAAATGGGTGGCTTATCCTGGTGGTCTCGATTTATTGGTTTTTTATAGGGAAAGGACATTTTGGGCTGTTAGAAGATTTTTTTTCAAGCTAGGTCCATGTGGTATCTTCCAAACATTTCCAGAGGGGAAAAAACCAACAGAGAATGAACTTCTATGTCTCTGGGCAGTAGCCCAGAAAACCAGCAGGAAGCACCAGCTTTTCTTTGAAATCTCTGATTTTACTGTTACTTACTTATTGTGGTGTGAGATTTAACTTCTGCATGATTTCCAGTAAGAAAAATGGACTCCCCCGAAGCTACGCAGCCCTGCCCCTAGAGTACCTGGGACTTAGCTCTAGCTTGAGATGGAAACTGAGGATGTTAGCCTAGGTCTGTAGGTGGCTGACCTTGTGGACCACTCTCCTGCCCCCTCCCATTTCATTGTATCTCAGCCTCTGATCTGAGCCAAAGGTTCTTCATTCTTTTTAGTACCTGTCGTTAATGAATGCATGACTTCCAGGCAGTACTTGCTGTATTTATTTGGGAAAAGGAATCAGATGTTTTTATGTAAAGTCCTCTGGAGAAGAAAATGGCAACCCACTCCAGTATTCTTACCTGGAGAATCCCATGGGCGGAGGAGCCTGGCTAGCTATGGTCCATGGAGTTGCAAGAGTCGGACATGACTTAGTGACTGCACCACCACCATGTAAAGGCCTCAGGATTTACTCCTCAAGTTCAGCTGCCAGATCCAGGATTAAACTGTTCTTTGGTACTTTTTATAGCTCACTTGCCAGTATGATATGGGAGGGAATTTTAAAATTACTTTAAACTTAACAACTCTCAGTTTGATAGAAATTAAAATAAAGGTTGTTTAATGCTGGTTCCTCTTGTCCCTGTTTGTCAGTCACCGTCATTTTGGGGTGTTTGCAACTCTTTTCTCCCTCAAGGGAAATGGCAGGGAGAGGAAACTCATCCTGAAATATGACTGGCCGACCCGCGAAATTATATCTGATGCTCCTCTTCTCTTCCCACAGGTACTGGATATTCAGGTCCTGGGGCCGTGTGGGCACGGTGATTGGTAGTAACAAACTGGAGCAGATGCCATCCAAGGAGGATGCCATTGAGCATTTTATGAAATTATATGAAGAGAAAACCGGAAATGCCTGGCACTCCAAAAACTTTACGAAGCATCCCAAAAAGTTCTACCCTCTGGAGATTGACTATGGCCAGGTAATCATGCTCTGACACTTGATCGTGCTAGTAAAAGGTTTTCTTTTAAAATCCTGCCATGAATCAGATGACATCATTGATTAATTCCACCAAATATTTAAAGAATTAATACTGGTCCTTCGTAAACTCTTCCAAAAAACAAGAGGAAGGAACACTTTTCAACTCATTATACAAGGCCAGTATTATCCTGATAACCAAAGATGGATAAAGGCATCACAGGAAAACTACAGACCAATATAGTTATGAATATAAATGCAGAACCTTCGACACAATACTAACAGACTGAATCTGGCAGCACACGAGGATTTAGACATGATTGAGTAGGGTTTATCCCAGGAATGCAAGGTTGGTTCAACATGCAAAAATCAAATCAGTGTAATATGAGTAGAATAAAGGATAGAAGCTACACAGTCATCCTAATGAACACAGGAAAAGCATTTAATAAAATCCATGCCCTTTCATGAATAAAATCTGTTCCGTGAAGTGAAGCTTGTAAGAACAGTGTGAGCATTTTTAAGACTGTCACAAAGGAGCAGTCTTTGAAGTTGCTCCCTAAACACAAGGGAGGATTCATAGTGAGGTTTCTTATCTGAAGGTCACATGACTTGCTTTATCATCAAGATAGAATTATAGTGACTACATGATCCACTGGGTCACAGTTTTTAGTCCTAAATTATTTCCTGATAATTTCTCATTATTTTTATTTGTAGCTTGACCATCTCTCTGTATATTACCAGGCAACCTTCCAGTGTCTCTTGACTGATAATGTTGAGGCCATTTGTTTTGACAAAATTCTTACAACGTTTCTGTATGAAAACCTGTTGCTTTTATAATGAGGGGTGGTGCACATTTATTATGCAGAGGGAAAGAGGTTTATTGTAGTGGTGCAGGTTTTAATCCAAATCTTTGAGGTCTAACATGTCTCAAAGGGAGATTTGAAGACTATAAACTGTAAGTTCTCTAGTTTATAGAGTGTCATGAACTTTACCATTAAAAACAGAAATTAACTCTTGTTTAATGTTGGGGTAGAGAATTTGGACTTGAGTGTTGGACATACTTGGTCTAACTCAGCAGTGCTCCCTACTGAGTTTATTTTTTGCATTTCAAAAAGATGTACAGTTGAACAAGTTTGAATTACATGGGTCCACTTACATGTGGAATTTTTTCATTGTACATACTACAGTTCCATACGATCCATGGTTGGTTGAACCCACGGATGTGCTGATAGAGAGAAACCATGTATGCAAATTTTCAACTGCAAGGAAGGGTAGCTAGCACCTGAGTTGTACAAAGGTAGAAAAAAAATTAAGCTCAAGATATGTGTCTTTATAGTCTTCTTTTCAGTTCACAGGTACTTTCAGCCATCGTAGTCCTGGAGTCTTTCCTTATGCACTATGTCGCCACCACCCACCTTTTGCCTTAATGTTATACGAGTATTTCCCCATGTCCTCAAGAGCAGTGCTGTCCAACAGAGAGAGGCAGCCACTTCCCACGATTTTAAATATTCTAGTGGCTACATTTTAAGAAGTAAGAACAGTGAAATTAATACTAGTTATTTAACCCAGAATGTCCAAAATATTATTTTGATATGTTGATATCGAAATATCTTTTTTTTAACTCAGTCTTTGATAGCTGATGTAGTTCTAGCTCTTAAAACATATCTCAATGCAGAATGACCACATATCAGAACCAGGGACTACTCTGTTAAATGGTACTGAACTAGAGCATCATTTTTTAAGTCTGTATAGAATTCCATCCTCTGGTAGTGGTAATAGTGTTAGTCGCTCAGTCATGTCCAACTCTTTGTGACCCCATGGATTTTAGCCCACCAGGCTCCTCTGTCCATGGGATTCTCCAGGCAAGAATACTGGAGTGGGTTGCCATGCCCTCCTCCAGGGGATTTTCCCAACACAGGGATCAAAACCCAGGTCTCATGGGTGGATATAGTTTGTAATTTACCAAACAACACTCCCATCCCCCAATTAGATTATTTCTAGATGTTCGCTATAATGATGCTGCTGTACACATCTGTATGCCTTTTTGCTTACTATCCTTAGAGTTACTGGTTACAGTATATGCATATAAATAAGGCTTTCTAACATATTAATAGTTTGCCTTCAAGTAAAGTTACAGCTAGAAGATGAGAAAGCATGTAAAGACTTGTGTCTCAGCATTGAGAGCAGATCCACTGTGACTGACAGCAGCAGCCCTGAACACTAGTACACGGGTTCTTCTCTGCAGCTTCATTAAGCCAGGCAGATTCCAGGAGCAAGGCCCAGCGCCAGTTACCTTCATTCAAGCAGGGTCTTGGCTCAGCCTGGGATCCCCAGCTGGCAGGAGTTAAAGTCCTGTGTTGTTAGTATATTAGGAAGAGCAATCCCAGGGAGTAGGGGTGAGGGGTAGGGTTGATGCTTGTATGTGTTTAACATTCTCAAGCTACGTGGCAGGAAGTGGGACTTGGTTGCTTGATCCTTTGGCACTATAGAGAAGGCTATGTGAATTCAGTCTTGGGTGAGGCAGTGTAAGAAGAAAGGAGGCAGAATTTGTCCATCAGTCCAGTGTCCCTTGGGGCCACGGTTTGCCCTTGTAGCTGCCAGCACTTCCACGTTGGGCATGAATGGGCTCTGGGCAGGTTCCCAGGCACGGGGCACCAGCAACCTCAGTGTGGGAGGCAGTGCGGGCATGAAGAGAGTGTGGGTGCCTGCAGGTCTGCCTATACAGAACTGTCTGCTTCGGCGGTGTCTGGAATAAGAATTGGGAGCAGCCACGAGGACCTGGGTTGCACAGGCAGTCTCATCCTGTCCATACTCTACATGTTCCTCCTGGCAACTAATGCTAAACCTTTTTGATGAACACACAACCTTTCTTTCTTTAGTTCTATTTTTGCTAGTGGCACTCCATCCTATATCCTTTCTCTGCTGGATGACACTACCACAACTTTGCTTTGGTTGTTTAATTGGGTCTCTTCCTGATTTTCCCTACAGGATGAAGAGGCGGTGAAGAAGTTGACGGTAAACCCTGGCACCAAGTCCAAGCTCCCCAAGCCAGTGCAGAACCTCATTAAAATGATCTTTGATGTGGAAAGTATGAAGAAAGCCATGGTGGAGTATGAGGTTATTGCACTTTTGTTATATTTGTGAACGTTTGCTGGGGTGGATGATTGGAGTGCTGAGTTGGCAACAAGTTCAGTGGCTAGTATTCAGCCTGAGACACACAGGAGCGCTGAGGCCTCGGGTACCTACACTTTCACAGAGAATCATTGGCCTGTTGTGAAATAGATGGTATGTTGTCCCCATTGCACTTTTTCCCTTGAAGTTGCCATAATGGAGTGTGGGGCATGGTTCTTTTATGGCTCAACCAAATAGGCCACTCAAAGTTGTCATGGGAAGTCCAAGATGGAGCCCATTTACAGTGAAAGAACTGCTGTGACCAGCAGAGAGCTTCTGACACTTGCTTCATCAGATTAAATTCATACCAGCCAGTTACAGGGGTGGAGGGGAGTGGGAAGTGATGAGTGGATCAGTCATGTTTCTGTCCAAGGAAGAGTGGTGGGGACCACCAGCCAGGGCCAGGTATTCTCTGTTTGTTCCCTGGGCGATGAATGGAGAAGGGCTTCTTGTTCTTGCTGCCTCGAACCTTTGGGCTGCTTTGAAAAAGAAGCAGGGACCAGCAGAGTGCAAGAGTTGCAGATTATTAGCCTTGACCATTCCGCCCCTGCACCACTTGCTTCCTCCCTGCTGCTTCCCTAGGGCCTTCCTAGAGGCTGCCAGCCCGCCTTGGAGAAGACGAGACAAATCTGGGTTGTAGAGACGACTACCAGCTTCTCTTCCTCAGCCCCGCACCTCCCTGTCTTGAGTCCAGCCTGGCAGGACTGCTCGGGCTCTGCTGCTGTTACACTGTTGGGTCATGTCTTAGACAACCCCTAACAGATGTGACGGTAGCTAGGGCTTGTGCAGATATCTTGTTCAAGTAGATATACAACCAGGCTTCTGGCTGGGAGGTCTGACAAGTTTGAACAGCTTATGGGCAGGCTCAGCAAGAATGCCTAGAGAAGAGGTGTGCTGGGGCGGGCAGGGACATCTTTTCATTTCATGAATCTTTTAAAAGAAAGGTTGCCCATATCCTTTCTGGCTTCTCTGTGATTCATAGGATTTCTCAGCTGTCATCAGACCCAGTCTCTTTCTGTGAAATGACTTTTTTTTTTTTTTAAGATTGTCTTACACTCTAAAATGGGCTTTCCCTGGTGGTTCAGACAGTAAAGAATTTGCCTGCAATGCCTGAAACCTGGGTTCAATCCCTGGGTTGGGAAGATGCCCTGGAGGAAGCCATAGCAACCCCACTGTAGTATTCTTGCCTTGGAGAACCCCTATGCACAATGGAGCCTGGTGGACTGTCGTCCATGGGGTTGCAAAGGGTCAGACACGACTGAGCAGCTAAGCACGCACACACTCTAAAACAACCTAGAGCCGGGGAACTAAGTGGGTTGAGCATGTGGAGGGTGGGGTGGCCAAGTAGAAAAGGAAACACAGTAACCAGGGGCACTGTGTGCTCCCAGTGGGGCAGGTGAGCCCTGAGCCCAGAGCAGAGTCCCAGCCGGGGCAGGGAGGGTGTGCGCTGAGTCCAGAGCCCGCGCTCCAGCTTTGCAGCCTCCTTCCCCCCTGCAGCCCACAGTCAGGAGTGCAGGTGGCTTGGTCTGGTTGAGCCCTCCTCTTGCTCTTGTGGGCTGTGTCTGTGCAGTAAGGGTGTAGGTTAGAGAGACCAGGTCTTAAAATCAGCACCAGAATTACCCAGCTCCGGGAGACGCTTCCCTCAGAGTTTCTGCTCTCACTCTGGTCACTCTGCTCTTGGAGCATCTTCTGGACTTCCCTCTCTAGAATTGCGTTCGAGCCAACTCACAGTCCATGCTCGGGTCACTCTGCTCTTTTACTGTACTGTGTCCTTGGCTCAGAATGCATTATCCACCCTCTTGTCTGGACTGCACTCCAACTGTTTAACTCTTCCCAGAAACCAGCTCTCCCTGGGGATGGATGGACGGTACTGAGGCTTCAGACGCTGTCACCACTGGTCCCTGATTGGTGCCTGTTGGGCTGTGAGCGCATTCACATCCTCTTAATATTTCGTCTAATCAGAAAGCAGTTCCACTTCTTGAGGGCTTGTCCAGCTCCATCTTTGTTCCAGGCCCTGCAGGTGCTGGAGACGCAAAGATGGGCTAAGTGCAGTCCCGGGGCCAGGAGCTCAGGGGGTCTGCTGGGAACAACCGTAGAGACAGCGGCTCAGGATTCAGAGCAGGGGGCTCCGTGGGGGGCTGACAGAGGGGACCTAGCCAGCTTTCAGGCAGGTCGCTCCCATAGGGAGTGGGTGCCTCGCTCACTAACTGGTGACCAGACCCCTGGCCACAGAGTTCACACTTCTCCCACTGCAGCCAGCTCCCTGCCTTCCTGCTGGTTGCCAGGGTGTTGTGAGCAGCACTGTTGTAGGGACAGATGTTTAACCTTTGGGGTGACTGATTTGAGGGGTACATTGTTATATTGATGTCAGTATGTATGTCCAGGAGCGTGTCCTTTTAAAAGTAACTTTCACCACTTTATGGTTATTTTCTGGCTGGGGATGGCCTTGGCTCTGAGACCCCAGGGAGGGTCTAACTTGGGAATTAGATGAGAGTCTTGCTGTGTCTTCCAGAAGTGTGGGACTGTTTCAAACCCAATCCAGGGGTGGGGGCTTGGCTTAATCTCTGCCATAAATGAAATGAACAAGAATCTTCTCTCACAGACTCCCATTCACTGCACTGGGGGTGGGGCTGCGGAGCCTGTGGAGTTGGGTCACCAGGTCGCCCTCGGAGGACCAGACTGTGACTGCTGCTTTTGGAGCCCAGGAGGCCTGGGGTGATGTTCAGCCCAGCTCTCCTGTCATCGCGCCGGACAGTGCCCAACTTTCAAAGGGAAAAAAATCCCCCTGTTTCCTCAGATTGACCTTCAGAAGATGCCCCTGGGGAAGCTGAGCAAAAGGCAGATCCAGGCTGCGTACTCCATCCTCAGTGAGGTCCAGCAGGTAAGACACCAACCTCTCCTCCAGCTGCCCCGTGTGGGGGGCAGGGGTGTCTCCTGGGCTGCCTGTCATCCTCGGGTGGGGAATGTAGCAGTATATTTATTCAAGGTTAAGGAAATAGACATACCGATTCCGCTGATTTAGATGGTTTTCACTTCACCAAGTATGACAGAGAAAGTAAGATGAACACAATCCTAATGAATTAGCAGTGTTTTCAGTTGTCAGATATGAAGTAAACACTGTATGCCTGATGAGGAATTTCATTCTCCTGCCTCGTAAAAATATTCTGATTTATTTTGTGTGTCCTTAAGAGAGGCGAGCAGTTACTAGGAAATCATCAAGTAGCAAATTAAAATCACATTGCTCTTGTTCATGTTCATTCCACGTCAACTTGCTGAGCATCTCCCAAGGTCCCCCAGTCCCCAGTGCCTTCCATCCTCTTCCCTGGATGGGGCTGGAGGGTTCCACGTGTGTTTGGGAGTGGCACATGAAAGAAGAAAACCACATTGGACACTGAAGTCGGGCCAGAGCAGTGGACTCTGGCTGGTGCTGGAGAGGAGGCCCTGAAACGTAGCGGTTAAATCCGGTTACAGCCAGTCCTGAGCAGTTGATCTCTTTCCTTGTTACCCACTGCCGGAGACCTGAAAGGCTTTCCTCAGCCCGAGCTCTTTGCTTTCCAGAATGTCCAGGCGGAGGGGCTGGGGTGGTGTCCTTTGCCTGTTGCACAGAGCAGCCTGTAGCACGGGCAGAGGTTTACAATGAGGACAAGCCCGTGTCACCGTGAGAAGCCAACCTAGGGCTTCAGGTGCTGACTCGTTGCCCCTTTACCCTCCTGTCGGCACTGAGAGTGTCGGCCACGCATGCACTGACCAGTGGTCCAGCTCCTCGTCTCTGCATTTACTGAGCACCTTCTGCATGGAGCAGTAACTAGGAGTGCGGCGTGGGGAGGAGCTCGCCTTCGTGTGCCTGACCCTGGCCCTTGGAGACAAATTCCTCCCCACCCCCCCTTAAAGATGGTCAATGGCCAAGGGGGCCTGATTGGATTTTATAGCAAGGGGGTTTTTTCCTCCCCCTCAACTTTTTTTCTGACTGTGCCAGGTCTTAGTTGTGACATACAGGTTCTTTGTGGCGCTGCACAGGCTTCTCTGTAGTTGGTGATGCTTGGGCTTAGTTGCCCCACGGCATGTGGGATGTTAGTTCCCCAAATGGGGGTCAAACCCACATTCCCTGCATTAGAAAGCAGATTCTTAACCACTGGGCCACCACGGAAGTCCCCAACAGTTTGTTAAGTTGAAAGACTTCTGCAGCAACAGCCAACATGCCCACCACCACGATGCCCCAGTGAACGTTTTGCATAGTGGTGCAGAGTTTATGGGTGTATAAATGCACAACTACCTGTACACGTGAAATCATGTACAGGAAGCCCATGTGTCCTGAGCCACCCAGTTTGAGGATGGGATCCTGCCGCTGCCCAGCTGAGTGACAGACTCTGCCGGAAGGTGGTTTCCTGGCCTGGCCACACAGACTTGGCAGCAGCATCCAGCTTCCAGAGGAGAAAGTCCAGCCAGGTGCTGGGAGCTCAGCAGTGCCTCAGACTGTTCCGTCTGTTTCCTCCCCACAAAGGCACTGTCCCAGGGCAGCGGTGACTCTCACATCCTGGATCTCTCCAACCGCTTCTACACCCTGATCCCCCACGACTTCGGGATGAAGAAGCCCCCGCTCCTGAACAATGCAGACAGCGTGCAGGTAGCGCCACGGTCCAGGGGTGGCCATGGGTCTGGGCTGTGCAGGGTTGGGTGTCACTCCCTCATCACTGCCCCTCTGTGTTGTGATTCCCGAGGGCAGCGGCCAGGGCCAGAGGCCCACCGCTGGGCTCTCATTTCGAAGTAAGGTTTCTCCCCATGTTGGGAGCCTGACCGTGGGTATGAGAGTTGGGTTTTCCTGCCCTTGCTGAACCACATCAGTCTGGGGAAAAGGAACCATAGGAGGGGGGAGCGTCTTTGTCCCTGCTCTCCCCCTCTCCTTCATTGGGGAGCCAGTGAGAGGTCTCCACCTGTCACCAGTGCGCAGTAGAGAAACCCCACACATAGGGCCATGCGGTTTCTGCCTTTTCTGCCCTGGGGGGCAAGCCTCCTTAGCATTCCAGAATCCTTAGGCGTGTTCCCTGTGAAGAGAGAACGGGCCGTGCCTGGACACCTGGGAGGACCGCGTCACCGTCTGTGTTGCGCGTTGTCCGGGTCCCGGGGCCTCTCTCTCTCACCTCGTACTTAGCCCAGGGTTTCCCCCCCCAGGCCAAGGTGCAGATGCTCGACAACCTGCTGGACATCGAGGTGGCCTACAGTCTACTCAGGGGCGGCCCCGAGGACAGCAGCAAGGACCCCATTGACGTCAACTATGAGAAGCTCAAGACGGACGTCAAGGTAGCAGGGCCCGCCCTTTCCGAAGCCTCGGACCCTCCGTCCCAAGCACAGTGCTCCCCAAACTTAAGCATGCATCAGGGTCTCCGGGAGAGCTTGTTAGAACAGATTGACCATCCTGATGAGGTTCCCAGGTGTTTCTGCTTGTGGTCCTCCGAGAACCTCAGAGCCTTCATCGGTGAAGAAGCACCTCGTCTGCGAGGCAGGCTTCCAAGTCAAGGCAGGCGCCTGATGGCAGCCGTAGTAAAGCTGCAGTGCCTAGGTTCATGTTCTCTGGAGTCAGAGTGGCTGTGTTGGTGCACACAGTTCTTGAACTTGGGTCTGTTGGAGGCTTGGGCAGAAATCACCCTGCCTTGGCCAACCGGAGAAATTTTTGCCTTAGCTGTGAGCTTGCCCTGGCTTTGAGCCTGGTCTTGCATCTCGCATGTGCCTCATTTCACAGCCCACGTCCTGCCCTGCAGTGTGAGGAGGTTCAAGTACACTGGGATCTGTTCAGCCTGGTGTCCTGTGTTTACATAACTAAAAAGAGTCTTTGCTCCGTGCTTAGGACAAAGTATAGGTTTTATGTGGTGTGTGGGTAGGTTTTATGCAGGGTAGGATACCAAACAGCCTGGTTCTTCATGAAGGGGGTTGTTAATGGAGACATTAATGATTGTGAGGCCATTTAATTAAGAGGCAATGAGGAGAACTAGAATTTCTGCATTCTCTGAACTTTGGATTAGACTGTGAAAATATAAGTCCCATCACACACTCATTGATTTCGGCAGAGATTGCATTATTTGACGGTTATTTAGTGTACATTTGCTCTGAGCCACAATGTGCCTGTCCCAGAAGATTCAAATGGAGCACCCATCACCATCGTCAAAAGCCCTAGAGTCTGTCGTATCCTTGCTGCTTTTGGTTGCAAGTCTTGGCTGCAGGGTGTCTCCTGGCCCCCGGGCTTTAAGTCATGATTCAGTTCAGTACACACAAGCAAAGTCGTTTCTGACTCTTTGTGACCCTATGAACTGTAGCCCGCCAGACTCCTCTGTCCATGGAATTCTCCAGGCAAGAATACTGGAGTGGATTGTCATTCCCTTCTCCAGGGGATCTTCCCGATCCAAGGATTGAACCCAGGATCTCCTGCTTAAGTTATGGTTAGGGGCACTGTTACCTGAGAGCCAGCTCCTCATTGTAGAGGTGCTCCGCTCCCAGACAGTGAGCCCCATGTTCCTAGCTTTTGTGATGTCCCAAAGCATAGGGTTCTAAGTAGGAGGGAGGCTGGGATCGTGCAAACAGGTGATGAAGAAGCTGATGCCCGGAGGAGGTGGGGGGCCTGGAACACAGGCTGACTCTCCCACCTGGGCTCCAAGTGAGCCATGTATTACTTGTGCGTCAGCTGAGCCTGTCGTTGTTCTCCCTGCCTCTGTGTGGCTCTCCTTGCTCTGATTCCAAGACGCTTCACTTCTAGGTTGTGGACAAAGATTCCGAAGAAGCCGAGATCATTAGGAAGTATGTGAAGAACACTCATGCGACCACACACAATGCGTACGACTTGGAAGTCGTCGACGTAAGGCTGTCTCCTCCCTCTGCCCCCTTTGTGTTCTCCTAGCTCTTCCCGGCCCATTCCTCCGACCTGGGCCTGGGTAGAAAAGAGCGGTTGGCTTTGCTTTAAATAACCAGAAGAAATGACGCAGTTGTTTGTGGGACACAAAAGTCCATAGTCTTGTGGTTTGAGGTTAGCTTTTTTTTCTGTTTTAAAGGACATTTCTTCCCTACCATTCCAAAAACCTAGTTCTAACCTAGCTTTGGAATCAGAACTATTAAGAGAGAGTCAAAATAAAGTGCCTCAGGTGTGCCTCTGCTGTACGCAGTATGAATTTTAGCTGCTGGTCCCTGCTGGACGAGACCTTGAGTGGGGCCTGTTGCCACATCCCAGCCTGATTGGAACACCTTACATACTGCAGAAGGCCTCACGTGTCCCAGCTCTGTCCCTGTGTCTCGTCGGATCTTCCAGTTCCCCACAGTAACTGGTGATTCCTTCCACTTCTCTCCTTTTAATACTCTGACCAGATCTTCAAGATAGAGCGCGAAGGGGAGAGCCAGCGTTACAAGCCATTTAAGCAGCTGCATAACCGGAGGCTCCTGTGGCACGGGTCCAGGACCACCAACTTCGCAGGCATCCTGTCCCAGGGTCTCCGGATAGCCCCACCTGAAGCGCCTGTGGTACGTGCCTGGCCTGGGAGCCACAGCAGGAGAAGGGTGGGCTCTGCCCATCTCTGCAGCCATCTCCACTTGAGCCCTGGGGGTACTTGTGTGGGAAGCTTCTGTGTGCCTCTGTGACCATGCGGCCTTGTTTAAAGATGTAGGTGCAGCCGTGGTGGTTGAGCTGAGCGTTGCTGCACATCCCTCTCTTGGCCTGACTACCAGGCTGCACACAGTTTCTGGAACAGAGGAAGTAAAGTGTTTTCCAGACCCTGCTGTGATTGACAGTTTGGGTGTGTTGACTGGCAGAGAGTGCAGACTTTGGCCACGGGCCAGGCCGAGTCCCGACCTGCCTCTCCCACCTCCCAGCCGGGGACCTCCAGTCTGCCTTGGGAGAGCCCGACCCAGACCCAAGTCAGACCACTGTGTCAGCTGTTCAGTTACAGACGTGACCCACCACGCAGGAACTTGAGGGTCTGCCAGGCCCCTTGTTCTGTGGTTGTATAAAGCGAGGAGCTTGAGGACTGGACTCGTTAGTGTGTCAGAGTCCGCTGTGCTGTGTGGCGGCAAACTCTCACGTCTCTTAACCCCATTTTCCCTTAAAGGAATAAAAAGTATAGCCGTGATTACCAGGTGTTCACATGTGCCACACCCTGGTGTAAGAAGTCGTTAGTAGCTCATTTAATTTTCACAGCAGTCCCATAGGGTTCTTTTCCCCAGTTCAGCGAAGAAAGGGGGATCCAGAGAGATCCAGTGACTTCTCACAGCCCCTAGGCAACAGTTGGAGCTGGGATCCAAACAACCTGGTCCAGAGCGCAGGACTCTGCCCACTGTGACGAGCGCTGTGGTGGGCTGCTAGTAACCTGTTTTCACAGCTGTTTTCTTGGCGCCTGGCTCGCAGTCAGCGCTCCCATGAGAAGGTTTTCAGCTGTCCCTTTTCCATCCTTCCAGACAGGCTACATGTTTGGTAAGGGGATCTATTTTGCTGACATGGTCTCCAAGAGTGCCAACTACTGCCACACATCCCAAGGAGACCCAATAGGCTTGATCCTGTTGGGAGAAGTTGCCCTTGGAAACATGTGAGTAACCCCAGCTCTGGGGCTGGTGGCACTTGATGGGGGTGGATGGGGTGAACTGCAGGAAGGAGCTTCCCCTGGCTAGGGGTGATCCTGGAAATTCCCCACCACAGTTAAGAGGACCCACCAGTTCGGCGGTGGGTGTCAGACACCAGTGCAAGTTAAGTGAATGAGGGAGGCACAGAAATGCTTCATGAAACCAAGACAGGAAGACAGCCAGGCCTCAGGAACTGGCAGTTGTGTTCTTCCTGTGGACTGGGAAGCACAGAGGGTGGTCACTTCATAGCCCCTGTCCCCCTACTGATATTTAGATTTCCTCTCTGAGACCCAACTCAGGTTGAATTGGAATCTTAATCCTAGTTGCAGAGAAAATCTGATTGGCCCAGCTTAGATTGGTTGTCCACCTTGGCCTTATTGACCATAACCCAAAGAGAGCAGGGTTATGTAATAGACCAGGAGGGGTCTCAGGGTCACGGACTGGACAGAAAGTTCCAGAATAGCAGCTACACCATAGATCTAATCAGGCCCTTTCCTGGAAGTGGCCTTCTGGCAGTGATTGTTGGCACCAGCTGTTCAAAGGGGGCTGCACCTTCCATGTCTAGAACCAGAGCAGAGGGGAGCTCCTAGCAGGGAATGTGGACTGGGCTCTCTGAGTGTTGGTCTCAGCAGCTTCCGTGGCCTTGCTCTGCTGTTTGTACTGTTGGTCTGAGAGCCCAGTGACCTTAGAGGCTCTCCTGAAACTACCTTCTCTTATAGGTATGAACTGAAACACGCTTCGCATATCAGCAAGTTACCCAAGGGCAAGCACAGTGTCAAAGGTAATGTGTTTCAGAAGCTGCTGCTGCAGATACCCCGGACGGCACAGGGCAGGGGCTTTCTTTCCCCCAAAATCATAGTGTCTGTGGCTAGCTGTTACAAGTTGTTCTTTTTTTTTTTTTAATGTTTGACTCTGGCCACGAATGACCCTGGTTTTACAAATGCCACATAGAAGAATTCTGGTTCCATCTCCTAATAACCAGGTGCACTGGCTTTGGGTTCTAACCTGACTCTTAGCTTCAGTTTGTTTTTTTTTTTTTTTTTTTTTTAAGCTTCAGTATTGAGGGCCTTCTGTGGCATAGTGGTACCTGGAGCTTCTTGAATTGCTATAGCTCTTAGCCCATAATGATTTAGGACTTCCTTCTGCCTAGTTGAAGCGAGGGCTTTGGGATTCTACTTAACAGAAAGCAGGGTGGGGACACTACTATGCTGATGAAAATCAGTTAGGCTGGAACTTGGTATATACTTGCAGCTTTATGTCTGGAAGGAGGACACAGTATTGGGTTTGTATGTCTTTTATATGTATACACAGATCTCATCTCTCTGAAGTGTTTTCGGCATGTTTCCACAAATCATATCCCATCTGCCTTCCGTCCTGCAGGTTTAGGCAAAACTACCCCTGACCCATCGGCTAGTATTACTATGGATGGTGTGGAGGTGCCTCTCGGGACAGGGATTTCATCCGGTGTTAATGACACCTGTCTGCTATATAATGAGTATCCTTTGACATGTGTGCTGTGCATGCCTCGAGCAATGGTCTGGGGCTGTGGAGTCACTTAAAAGCAGCCAGTTCACCCGGAGGTGGGCTGGCTCAGGACTGTCCCATGGTGTGTCTCACGGGGAATAGTTCCACTCAGTGGTCTCCCCGGTCAGGACGAGAGGCCCAGCCCCCGACCTGGGAGGGTTTGTGGGGTGTGGCCACAGGCCAGCTTATGGGCAGCAAGCACATCCTCCATTGTGGAAGCACTTGTACCTTGACACACTTCCCCTCCAGGTACATCGTCTATGACATTGCTCAGGTCCATCTGAAGTACCTGCTGAAGCTGAAGTTCAACTTTAAGACATCCCTGTGGTGAGCTGTGAGGGGTGCAGCCTGCTGACAGATGTGCTTCGCACTGACCAGGCAGAAACCTCGGCTGAGTTGCTGAGGCATAGTAGCTTCACTCAGTCTCCTTAGAAAGGATTTTATATGAACACTTGGTCACATGTTTCAACGATTTTCCCAACTTTTCAAATCCCTTGATTGTGTTGGGTGGGGGAGTGGGCGGGGGGTTGTCTTGGGGTTTTTCTCCTACCAGCCATAACCCTGGTAGGTACAACTGACAATAGAGGGAAAGTCGGGGAGGGTCTTAACTGTCTAGATTAGTCCAATGAAAGAGCCTTGCAAGCCACGTTAGAACGTCTGCCTTACTGGTTTCCCCAGGGAAGGAAAAAAATAATCTTCTACCCTTGTTTCTAAGTATTCATCTTTAGTTTTGGAAAAATGTTAAGTGTTTATTTTGAAGTCAAAATAAAAACTAATTTCATACTATTTAAATTTCCTTTTTTTTTTTTTATATTATTTTGTAATTGTCACCCTTCCAGCCTCTTGTTTTTCGGTGAGAAGTGTTGGGAGACCACAAGGAGGAGCTTTAACAATTTCTCATACTGAGAAACAAAAGGCACTTTCCTTTTTAGAGGCTCTTGAACGTGGAAGCTCTCGGAATACGTAGTAGTTTTAGGTTGCATTTGAAATTCTCAGTTTTCCTCTGAGCAAGTTTGTCTTCTAAATTAAGACTAGCATCACCAAAATACCAAAGGGCTAATAGTAATTCTGGATTAAAATGGAAATGGCTTCTGTCCTTATGTGTGTTTGGTCTCATTCTGACCGCGGATCTATTAATCTTCACAGTGCAAGGTCCACAGAGATTGTAGGGGGATTGTTTGCACTTGTATCCATGGAACCCCAGGGTGTGCCAGGCAGCATATAGCAATGCCCAGAAGGAAAGCCCCATCTGAGAGGCAGAAAGCCAAACATAGGAGACCATGCTGCTTTCTCTTCAGTTTATCAGATGGTTAGCGGTGATAAACCTGTCAGCGTGCTCTTCCTTTCTGTGGAGTGTTATCTTACATATACTGTATTGCCTCCTACCATTAAAGTTCCCTGAAAGCTGGGATGGTATCTTATGACACTTTTAACCTTATACAGAAAGAGAATGGGAAGTGAGGGCTGGAAGGTAGAGTCACAGGCAAGAGAATGCCTCAGAATGAGCTGTTGTCGCAGCCCCAGACTTACACAGGTGTTCTGGGTCAGACTAACAAAAAACAGACATCATTCCAGAGAGGAAAGAAGAAAAACACATCTTCTCTGAGTTGAGTTATATTGAAGTGACGGTAGTGGCAGGTACAGTTTATGAACTGTGGCTGTGTGTCATGGTAGCCGTTTGTGGCTTTCTACAGTAAATTTGAGGGCCATACAAACCCAAGTTAGGGTGTCAGATTTCAGAAACGGGCAAACCAGCTTCATAACAGAGTCTTTATCTTTTGTTTGGTGTCCTTAACTTTTGATGAAAATCCTTAGCAAAATCAACCTGAGGTCCCTCTCCAGGTTAGCTGGCCACTCAGCAATGCTCTTAGGCTCCCTAGATCCTGAATATTCTGTATTATTCACCATTTTTTATCAACACAGAGAAGGGCAGTTACTAGCCTCCACCCTTCCTCCACCACAGTATCTGATTAAAGAAGAGTATTTTTAGGTTGGAGTGATTGCTTAATGGGTTTTCTATAATCAACTGATTTCTTTCTTAAAGAGAGATTCTGATTCCATACTTTTCTGCTAAGAGGGAACTTGCCATGTTATGTTTCAGTATTCATTTTTATTTTCTTTCTTCACTTTACAAAAATTCAGGTTAGCAGCTAAAGTGTGTGTAGTTAGTTTAAAATGTAAATCATACAGAAGCACAGAGTGGCTAGTGAGCCAAGGTGCAGCCCTGGGCCTCTGCTGGGAGCTGCCCGCCCTCCTGCCTTTGCCTGGAAATGCCCTTGGACGACAGCGGCTGCCAGAAACAGCATTTGGCTCACGTTTCAGTCTACACTGTTCCGCACAGCGTGGCGCACCTCCGTGGTTTAAATGTCCTGAGCAGAGCACCACCCATTACTCCAGTGTGTTAACCAACAGGTTTTGCATTGGCAGTTCTCTTTTGCCCTCTTTTGGAAGCTGAGAACAGCTCCTTGAACAACCCAGAGCACGCCTGTGAAGCTCCTATAGTGATGTGATGACTGGAGCTTTGCAGTGGGGTGAACCCCAAACCACTGTGCTCTTAGGGTCCCCTGAGTTAAGCCCAGTGGCAGCTTGGCCCCTGACACATGCAGAGTGTGTGTTCAGTGTTCACGCTGAAAGCCCTTTGACCTGCTCCAGACACCTTGTGTCTTCTCTCCATGAGGATCTGAATATCAGGGATAGGTTTATCTCTGACCTGTTGGGCTGGTTTTAATTACTCTCCTTGACACCCAACTACTTTAAGGATTTCATATTTCCAAAGTAGCATCACTTCCTCTTCCAATTCCCCAAATACTGGAGTTGTCTTTTTAAAGGAATGGTGTTTTAAGTGAGGCTTTTCATATTGTGGCTCCCTGAGGGCTTATAGCTGGTTTTGTGGGGTCCAGAGCAGTGATGACCAGCATCCCACCACCCCCCTCACTTCTGCCCCATAAACTTTGCCTGAAAGATTGTCAGGCAGCTCCTATATGCATTTCTCTGGCTTTAGAGAGCAAGGCCAGGCCAGGATCTAGGTTATAAGCAGGTATATTTTTGGAGACTCATTTTGGAAAATAAAAAGATAATGGCCTACAAACGTTTTTCCTCAGGTAAGAGGTTGCCGACTGGTGGACAGTGCTGGTGATGGGAACACCTGGGCATTAGCCCTATTCCACCACTGTGCCTTTCTGGGCAGGGGGTCTCACCTTGCAGCAATGGGCTCGTGCCCATAAGTCACCTGGTTTTACCACATGTCCCTTCACCCAGAAGTGGCCTCATTGAAAGTGGAATGGCTCCTAAAGTTGAGCCAGTGTGCCAGACGGGGTGAGGCTGCACCACAGGGCCTGTGAGATCTTAGTTCCCCGATGGGATCAAACCCTCGCCCCCTGCATTAGAAGCATAGTCTTAACCATTGGACTGCCAGGGAAGTTCCCCAGAATGTGCTTTAGATCAGATACCAGCCTGTGGTCCTAGAAGTAAGGGCGGGAGTGGGCATAGCTCCTGACTGTTGCCACGTGTGACTTCCCCTGGAGCTCTGCTGGTTTGGAAGTCCAAGGCCTAAGGGAGACATGCTTCCCTAGGGGCCACAACAGTGGTTCCACAGGGTTGGAAGATAAGGCTGCCACTTTAGGGCTCTAAAAACCACTATCCCCACAAGCAGAGAAAGGGGTTACTCTGCTGGCTAGTGTGACTGATTACCCAGTGGGAGATTGGGACGCTGGACCTTGGAGGTGGAAGGACAGTCTGCAGCCCAGGGGCTTCTCAGCGTCACCTTGTCCATGACATAGTTGAGGGGCGGAGGGGAGCTGCGGTCGGTGGAAGTCCATGACAGCCCGTGATAGTGGTGGGGCTGCTGAGGACCTGACCCTCAGGAACAACAGTTTGGGTACTAAACCAGTTCAAAAACATCAGCTAAGGTTCAGACTGAGGGCAGAAGAAATAGGAAAGAAGAAGCTGTAGGTAACAACTGTGGTTGTATGACCCGAGTATAAACAACTGAAATAACCAGGTAGGGGGCTGTAGACAACTGGCCTAAGTGGCCTGAGCCTGGGATTTGAGATGATGGGTTAGAATGGCTATAAATGTAAAATTGTTTAAAGTGTCTATAAATGTCAATATGGGGCTTCCCTGGTAGCTCAGCTGGTTAAGAATACACTTGCAATGCAGGAGACCCCAATTCAATTCCTGTGTCAGGAAGGTCCCCTGGAAAAGGGATAGGCTACCCACTTCTTGGGTAGTATTCTTGGGCTTCCCTGGTGGCTCAGATGGTAAAAAATCCACCTGCAATGTGGGAGACCTGGGTTGGGAAGATTCCCTGGAGGAGGGCATGGCAACCCACTCTAGCATTCTTGCCTGGAGAATCCCCATGGACAGAGGAGCCTGGTGGGCTACAGTCCACGGGGTCACAAAGTCAGACACGACTGAGCGACTAAGCACAGCACAGCCAGATGTCAGTATAGGTTACATATTTACCCCCAAGCTCCCCACCCCATACATAATTCAGTAGATCTTGAACTCAGGGATGCTGTTGCCTGAGAACTGGTGGTGGGTTCAGCTTGGGGGACACAAGGTTCAGGGCCCAAAGGAGAGAACCCCTGACTTCCCAGGGTCATCTGTGTCCTTTCAATCAGGGCTTTTTCTCTTGACTGCAGAAAGATGAATCAGGGCTTTGCTGGTGGCTCAGTGGTAAAGAATCCACCTACCAATGCAGGAGACATGGGTTCAGTCCCTGTTCTGCGAAGATTCTACGTGCCACAGGACAACTAAACCCGTGAGCCACAGCTACTGAAGCTTGCACACCAAGAGCCCATGCTCCGAAACAAGAGAAGCCACCGCTATTAAAAGCCAGTGCACTACAACTAGAGAATATCCCCCGCTCGCCACGACTGGAGAACACCTGTGCACAACAGCCAAGACCCAATGCAGCAATAAATAAATAAATTTTAAAAAGAGAATGTCAAAAAAAAAAAGGAAAAATATAGCCATTCTGAATGCCTGAAATCTGTTGGTACCAACCTCTGAATTGCTCTGAGAATGTGTGTGCTAATTCCTATAAAGTACTTGGCGTGGTTCCTGACCTTGATATGCCCTCAGTAAACCTCAGCCATTATCACTGAAATCCTAACGGATACCTTTGCCTGGGGTGTAAGTTGAAACAGGAAGCTCCAGTTTAAAAAAAGAAACTGGGGCTTCCCTAGTAGTCCAGTGGTTAAGACCACCCTTCCCCTATAGGGAGGCATGGGTTTGATTCCAAGTGGGGAAGTTTCTCATGCCATGAAGTGCAACCAAAAAAAGGAGGAGAAACCAAGAAACAAGAGTAAGGAATAAATCCTATGTTTG